CCCAGAGTTGAGGCCCCATGACCGGACTCCCCCCCCCCAAAAAAAAAAAAAAGTTCATAAAACTGGAGCCAGGTGCTAGTTGCTCATGCTGTAATCCTAGCTACTTGGGAGGCTGAGATCTGAGGATTGAGGTTCAAAGCCTGAGCAGAAAAGTTTTTGAGACTTTATCGCCAATTAACTACCAGAAGACTGGAAGTGGCACTGTGGTTCAAGTGGTAGAGTGCTCACCTTGAGCTGAAGAACTGAGGGACAGCACCCAGGCCGAGAGTTCAAGCCCCACAACTGACCAAAAAAAAAAAAGAAAGAAAGAAAAGAAAAAGAAAAGTTCATAAAACTGGTTTGAAGTGTTATTGAAAAAGAAAAGTTCATAAAACTGGTTTGAAGTGTTATTCTTTTTTGTTTTGTTTTTGGTCGGTCATAGGGCTTGAACTCTGGGCGTGGGCGTGGTCCTCAGCTCTTCAGCTCAAGGGGAGCACTCTACCACTTGAGCCACAGCGCTGCTTCCAGTTTTCTAGTGGTTTATTGGAGATAAGAAGAGTCTCAGGGACTTTCCTGCCAGGGCTGGCTTTGAACCATGATTCTCAGATCTCAGCCTCCTGAGTAGCTAGGATTACAGGCATGAGCCACAGGCCTCTGGCTGGAAGTGTTATTCTTAATTCTCAGATATCAGTTTCATTTAAGTTGGTATTCTGCTTATAGAATCAAGAGTATGTGCTGTCTTGCCAATATGTTAAATCAGTTGAAGAGGTAAGCTAGTGTAACCATGCAATATTAAATACAGTGAGGAGTTTGGTTTAATTTTACTTTTTCTCATATGTTAAATTGTTAATTTTGAAAGTGTTTGGGCCTTTGCTCCTTAAAAGTGCTCTCTTGGGAATAACTGTCTTTTCAGTTATAATACTCTTAATAATCTGCAGTATGCAATAGGAAGCTAGACTCTTTCATAAATGGGTTTAAATATACTTAAAGGATTATTACTGCTTGGTTTTACATTAATTATATTAGCCAATTAAATTTTGGCACCATTGTTAATTAATGTTGACATTAGTCAACAAAATATATGTGATAGTAAACTTAACAATCTAAATTGCAAAGTAGGTCACTGGGTCAGTAGCTTATTGGGTTAGTTTCCATACTGGAGTGTGAGTTTAGTGACTAGTGTTTCCTAGGCAAGCACTCTGTCATTTGAGCCATGCCCCAGCTAGTTTAATCTTTTTATCTCAAGTTTTCAAGTTAACTTCTCAATAATTAATGTCATTAATTAGATGAAATTGAAAGGATTTTTTTTCCTAAGGACACAGGAAATTAATCTTGTGGCAGGGCGCTGGTGGCTCATGCCTGTAATCCTAGCTACTCAGGAGACTGAGATCTGAGGATCTCGGTTCAAAGCCAGCCTGGGCAGGAGAGACCGTGAGACTCCTATCTCCAATAAACCACCAGAAAACTGGAAGTGGCGCTGTAGCTCAAGTAGTAGAGCAGTAGAGCGCTCGCCTTGAGCTGAAGAGCTGAGGGACAGCGCCCAGGCCCAGAGTTCAAGCCCCACGACCGACAAAAAAAAAAAAAAAAAGTAATCTTGTGTTACTCAATGTTTTATTTCTGGAATAGGTAATATATATTTAACATTACTGCTTTTATATACAAAGAAAGAATGAAAGAGAAAGGGGGGAAGGATGGAGGGAAAAAAGGAAGGAAGGAGGGAAGGCAAAAAGGACTGTAATATGAATAATTAAAAGGAAAAACAACAATTAAATTGTAAAAATAATACATGTTCATGGGAGACATTTTAGAATATGCTAAAGAAAAAGTAAAGTGTGCAATTTGTTCTTCAACTAGTCTTTGAGGTTATAAGGTTACGTTGTTTGAGATCTTAAATTTTTTAAATTTATTTTAGCGTTAGATATTTGAACCCAGGGCCTTACTAGGACCTACCACTGAGTGACATCCCCAATATTTCTTAATTATTTAATATTACTTTATATATTTTTAAGTATTAATGATGAAACAAAATAATAAAACATGAAGCATTTTATGAGTAACAGTTACTTTAAAAGTTTCAGAAGTTTTTAATATAAGAAATACTATGGAGAGTAAAATTCACTTTTTATTATTAAGCACCACTATAATGTAATAAAATTAGAGATTTCAACATGCTAGAATTATATCTGCAATAGATATTTGATAATAGGTAACAGTGATGTTCCTTATTTCTAATGCTGATTATTATTAATCAAATCAATGCCAAATCATATAAAATAATATATAACATTCAAATATTAGATATTTCTCAGTTTCAATTATTCATAATAATTTTAAAGCATGCAAAGCACAGAATTCCTTACCTAAAATTCTGTTTTTTGCTTAAAAGTGTGATTTTCCAGATGTCAAAGTATTTTATACCTTGTTATGATAATGGCTATATTTTTGCAAGACCTTTCAAAAGCATTTTCATCTTGGAAAGTTAGAATACATATTGGATCACATGAGCTCTTTCCTTTTAAGCTTATTTTTAACTGATACTTAGAAATATAAGCATTGTAAAGGTTAACAAGAAATAATGTTTAAATCAGGGCAAATACTTTCTTTTTTTTTGGGGGGGGGGGTGGGTCTGGTTGTGGGGCCTGAACTCTGGGCCCGGGCGCTGTCCCTCAGCTCTTCACCTCAAGGCTAGCGCTCTTCACCTCAAGCCACAGTGCCACTTCCAGCTTTTTTTTTCTGCTTATGTGGTGCTGAGGAATCAAACCCAGGGCCTCATGCATGCAAGGCAAGCGCTCTACCACTGAGCCACCTTCCCAGCCCAGGACAAATACTTTCATATCAGACACATTTCTTAATTTTTACTGTAGATATTTGTTGCTGTGACATTCCCTCCCTGTTTTATTGTAGCATACTCTCTCTCTCTCTCTCTCTCTCTCTCTCTCTCTCTCTCTCTCTCTCTCTCTCTCTACCCCCCCCCCCCCCAGAAAACCACCAGAAAACTGGAAGTGGCACTGTTGTTCAAGTGGTAGAGCGCTTACCTTGAGCTGAAGAACTGAGGAACAGCACCCAGGCCCAGAGTTCAAGCCCCACAACTGAGCTTGAACTTAGGGTTAGAGCCTGAGCGCTGTCCCTGAGCTCTTTTGCTCAAGACTAGTGCTCTACCACTTTTAGACAGTTCCACATCTGATTTTCTGGTGGTTAATTGGAGGTAAGAGTCTCTTGGATTTTGCTACTCAAGCTGGCTTTGAAACATGATCCCCAGATCTCAGCCACCACAGTAGCTAGAATTATACTCATGAGCCACCAGCACCAGGCATTAGCCTATAAATTTTTATCACTTATGTTTTCATTTGTCTCAAAATATTTTCTGGTTTCCCTTTTGATATCTTCCTTGATATTTTAAGAATACATTGTTTAGTTTTTACAGGTTTGCAAATTTCCCAGTTTTCCTCTGTTACTGACTTCTGTTCTCATTCCATTGTGGTCAGAAAAGGTACTTATCATTTCAGTCTTTAATTTGTTGTTTTGTTTTTGTTTTGAGTTAAGATCTCTCTATATAACCCTGAGTCTCAGTCCTGGAAATTGCTATATAACCTAGGCTGATCTGGAACTTGATTCTCTGTTTTACCCTTCCAAGTTTGAGATAACAGGCTTGTGCAACCATGTCTGACATGAAGTTGTTAAAACTTGTTTTGTGAACAAATGTGATCTGTCATAATCATATTCTCTGTATATTTGAAAAAATGTATATTCTGATGCTTTTGGGTTAAATGTTCTATATGTCTGTTAGGTCTGTCTGGTTGGTTTATAATGTTATTTAAGTCTGCTATTTGTTTTGTCCTGGATGACAGGTCCATTATTGAAAGGTAGGAAACTAAAATCTCTGTTTTGTTGCTGTAGGTTCCTAATGAATTGACCCTTTTCTTAATATAAATGTCCTTGTTTCTTAAAATACTTTTTTACTTAAAGTCTATTTTGTCTGATATAGGTATAGCCACTTATGCTGTCTTTTTTTGTTTTCATTTGCATGAAATAACTTTTTCCATCCTTTTGTGTAGTCTTAAATTTAACTGTAGATGACACATACTTGGACCTTGTTTTTAAATCCATGCAGCTACTCTACATCCTTAGACTGGGGAATTTAATCCAATTATATTTAAAGCAGTTAACTACCATAGAAGAAGGGCTCTTTTCTGCCTTGTAGCTCTCTTGTTCCTTCCCTTTCTTGCTGTCTTCCTTTGTATTGGTTGACTTTTTTTTGTAGTTGTTGGTGGTGGTTGTCGGGCTTGAACTCTGGGCCTGGGTGCTGTCCCTGAGCTCTTCAGCTCAAGGTGAGCACTCTACCACTTGAGCCACAGTGCCATTTCCAGTTTTCTGGTGGTTAATTGGAGATAAGAGCCTCACAGACTTTCCTGCCCTGGCTGTCTTTGAACCTTGATCCTCAGATCTCTGTCTCCTGAGTAGCTAAGATTACAGGTGTGAGTCACCGGTGCCCAACCTGATTGACTTTTTTATTTAAGAGTTTTATATTGTGTTTCCATATAATTGTTTCCATGTATAGATTCTTTGTGATTACTTAGTGTCTTTTATGAGACATCTTAGCTAAAACTGTAAGTTGTACTGTTTCCCCTTCATTATTAATGTCACCAATTTCCCCTTCATTATTAATGTCACCAATTACATCCATTTAGTATTGTATATTTGTGAATATATTTTATAATTTTGTGATTTATGACTTTAAAGTCTTTTTCCTTTTTCAGAAATAATTTGTAGGATTTAAGTTTGTTAATATGTTTTATGGCATGGTTATAAATGTTATTAGTTTTAGAATGTTTTATTTAAGACATTTTTCTGATGGAGTCGCTCAAATAGTAGAAACTGCTCAGCAAGTGTAAAGCCCTGAGTTCAAATTCCGGTACTGCTAAAAGAAAGGAAGTAAAACATTTTTCGTGACAGAATTCTGAGTAAGTTGAGAAATATTCTGTGAGTTGAATAAAGCTAACTTTTTTCTTTTGTTTAAACAGAATTCTGATGTTGATGAACAGTCATATAGAAAAGAACGTGAACCTGTAGTATCTGAGAAATCTATTTGAAAGTTTGGAAAAGTGCAAAAGGTAATGATGGATGCCTTTTAAAATTGTAGCATGCTAATAAGAGCATATTTAAAAACTATTATCAATTATTGTACAAAGGAGCTGTCATTTAACAAAGCAGTTCATGAATACAGTATATCTTGATCAATGTCACACCTTTTTTTAAACGGTAGCAGAAATCTAAGGGATTTATTTATTCTGTAGCAAAAGACTAAAAAAGCAGCAGACATAACTGAGAATGGCATGAACATAATGAAATTGAGGAGATTAAGAACCACGGCTACCAGATTTTTATACTCTTCCAGTAAGAGTTGTGAAAGTTTTTTTTCTGTGAACCCAATTGCGTGCAGATTTTCCAAAGAAATATTCAGCCTACAATCGCTGGAGTAAAGTTAATAGAAAATAGCCTTATCACATAGTTTTCAGTGATCTTTTTAGTGCTCCCTTCCTCCCCCAAATCTGAACTTGTGACCAGAGATTACTAGATACTTGAGAAAACCCTCTTATGTGAAAGACAAAGATCAAACCAAAAGACAAGATACCAAGTTAGGGAAAATGGAAGTAAGAGGAATGCATAAAACACAAGGCTGTCAAGAAGAGGTGCTACACTATAAAATATGAGAGACAAACAACTAAAAGAATTAAAGAATAAAATTGCTTTGTTAACTATTAAACACAATGAAAAAGAGAAGGAAAATTAAAGAGAAAATATAAAACAAGAGAGCAAGCGAGCACGGTCTAAGAGCTCTAACATTCAAATAAAACGGATTCCGAGAAGATGGAATTAAGAAAATAAATGGAAAAAACGAAAACAAAGAATAATGATTCAAGAGTATATAGTCAGTCTTTGGGGGGGCGGGGGGCTTCATTGTAATCCTAGCACTTGAAAGGTTAAGGTAGGAGGCATTAGTGTTTGACACCAACCTGTCTGCATAGTGAATATCAAGCAGGCTGGGACTACATGGCAAGACTGTCTCAAAACAAAGCAAAACAAAACAAAAATCAGTTTGTTGTTTACTATAAAAAGGGTGAATCTAAATTTTTTCCCTTTCCAAACACATACGGATATTACACATTTATAGATACATTATCCATAAACTTTATATGCTATGTAGATATAATTATATCTACATAGATATGGATATAGTCTATATATGAATATACTTTATACTATCCTTACTATATATCTATACTATATTCATACTATATATACGTATATAGATAGCTATGCTCTTTGTGTGTGTGTGTGTGCATGTGTGTTCGTATGTATATAGTTATATCCTAGAGGGTTTTGTTTTGAGACAGGCCATCCTCAATTTGGGATCCTTCTGCCTGAAGCAGTTGACAGTTGGGATTTCAAGCCACTCACTATGCCTGTTTTTTGCCCCTTCTCCCTCTCCTCTTGCCAGTTCTTAGTTCTTTTTTGTGGTTTTGCTTTTGTTAGTCTGGGGCTTGAACTCAGAGCATCGGCACTGTTCCTGAGCTCTTTTTAAAAGCTCAAGACTGGTGCTCTACTACTTTGAGCCACAGTTCTACTTCCAGTTTTTGAGCGATTAATTTGTCTCATGGGGGCTTTTCTGCCTGGGTTTGCTTGGAACCTCTAGCCTCAGATCTTCCTGGGTAGCTAGCATTATGGGTGTGAGCCACCAGCCCCCACCTAGTTTCTACTTTTTACTTATTTATTTTTGTCAGTCGTGGGGCCTGAACTCTGGGCTAGCACTCTACCACTTGAGCCACAGTGCCACTTCCAGCTTTTTCTGCTTATGTGGCTCTGAGGAATCAAACCTAGGGCCTCATGCATGCAAGGCATGTAGTCTACCACCAAGCCACCTTCCCAGCCCTCTACTTTTTAATGAACATCCTCATTGTTTACTGGATGACAAATTAAGTTTTGTTCTTACCTCTGAACTCTTAAAGCTGTTCTTTTAAGTTTATACCAAATGGTTGTTTGCTTTGCACTGTTCTTTTTGTTCTAGTGATACATCTAGCCTCTTTGATTACCATAAGTAACCAGAGGGGTGTGATCTTTAAAGTCTGTTCTAACGTTAACATTTTGTAATTAGATATTCTGTCTGCTAATGGTACTCTAGATACTTAAAAGTCACTATGTGTTGATTCTTTTTATTCTTCTGACTCCTGAAATCATTACCTTTTAGGAATTCTTAACCCATTACAATTCTACTTCTGCAGCCATAACCACATAAGCCAGTGTTATTTATTAAGGGCTACATTCCCTTCCTCTTGTGAAGGTACATTTGAGAAATAGTACAAAATCTTTTTATAATACCTTTATTTTTCTCTGATTTGAAGTTATACATTAATTTATTTTCTAAATTTTAAATAAAGAAGATATAAAGTAGACCTTCCCCCTGCCACCATGTGCTTTTTTTTTTTTTTTTCATTTGTGGGGCTTGAACTCTGGGCCTGGGCACTCCCTGAATTCTTCAGCTCTCTACCACTGGAGCCACAGCGCCACTTCTGGCTTTTTCTGTTTATGTGGTGCTGAGGAATCGAACCCAAGGCCTCATGCAGGTAAGGCAAGCGCTCTACCACTGAACCACCTTCTCAGCCCCCTCCCCCTCCATGTGCTTATAATTGGGCTAGAACTTGGGGCCAGAAAGCTATCCCGTTGCTTTTTTTTGCTGAAGGCTAGTGCTATACCGCTTGAGCCACAGCTCCATTTTTGGCTTTTTGTAGCTTATTAGAGATAAGAATTTTTTCTACCTGGGTTGGCTTTGAGCCTTGATCCTCAGACTTCAGCCTCCTCTACAGCTAGGCTTATAGGTCCTTAGTCGCCAGCACCTGGCTCAGCTGGCATTCTTATCACTTGAGCTATACCTCCAGTCCTGGCCTTTTCTGCTGGTTAATTGGACATAAAAGTCTACAGGAGTCGGCTTGGGCCGCTTCAAACCTGAATTCTCAGATCTCAGCCTAGGATAGCAGATATGACTCAGCTTAAAGTTGAACTTCTTATGCCTCAAAACTTTGAGGGTCAGGGCTGGGAAGGTGGCTCAGTGGTAGAGCGCTTGCCTTGAAAGCCTGAGGCCCTGGGTTCGATCCCTCAGCACCACATAAGCAAAAAGAAAAAAAAGCCGGAAGTGATGGTGTAGCTAAAGTGGTAAGAGCACTAGTCTTGAGCTGAAGAGCTGAGGGACAGCGCCCAGGCCCAGAGTTCAAGCCCTACGACCGGACCCAAAACAAAAAACAAAAAAAAACTTTGAGGATGCTTATTTGAATCAAGGTCATTAATTCAGTATTTAACTCATAACTCAGAATATAATGTTGATCAAAACTTCCCTTACCAGGCGCCAGTATCTCATTCTTATAGATCAGGTTATGCAAGATGCTGATACCTGAGGATTTTGGTTCAAAGCTATCTGGGGCAGATACATCCTTGAGACTTGAATCTCCAATTAACCAGCAAAAAGCCAGGAGTGAGCACCAGCCAGGAGCAGAAAAAAACTGAACAAGAGTGTAAGGATGGTAGGAGTTCAGGCCCCAGTACCAGCACGCATGTGTGCGTGCACACACATGCACACATACACACACACAAAACCAACAACAAAAAACCTTGCCTTATACTTTTGAAAGTCTATGTAGAATATGGAAAGGCAAATGTTAAGCTTGTGATTCAATTTGAAAGTAAATTTTCATTACTTAAACATTTAAATCATAGGAGACTATAAAAAAGGCTATTCTTCATTTGTTTACTTTCCCACTCATACTCCCACTTTATACATTAGTAATTAAAACTTTTCATTGTAACTTGCCTTATTTTTCTATATGAAAATTGCTAAACCTCTTGAGTTTCTCATCTATGATACTCCCTCATCTCATGAAAGCCTATGCTATTGTACATTGCTGTTTCTTGGCTGAGAGTCCTACTAGCTTTTATGTCTTCCTGGCCTTGAACTGAAATAATCTTACAAGACAACATAAGGGGATCTCATAAAAGATATAGACCCTGATTCAGTAGGACTGGAATGGAGTCTGAGACTGCCACTTAAGTTCTCAGAAGATGTTGAAGTTGTTAGCCTTTAACAAAAGTCTTAAATCCTGAAGGATTCATTGTTATAAAAAATACTTCCTCTGACTTCCTCCTATAAATCCCATGGGCACACTTAGTTGTTTCTTTCTCCAGTAATCCCATTATACAGTAAATACCTTCATTATACCTCTAATATAATTATGTATTTATCTTCTCTCTCACTGTACTTTTACATTTTATTTTTAAATTTTGAGTGGTACTAGGGAGTACCACTAGTACTGGAGTTTGAACTCAGCCTCATGCTTGACTTACTTGCTTGGATGGCCTTCTAGCCCAGGTCTTTATCCCTGGTTTTTGTTGGTTATTTTAGAGAGGGAGTCTTTGGGCTTTTCTGCCCTAGCTAGCTTTAAACTGTGATCCTCCAGATCTCAGTCTCCTGAGTAGCTAAGATTACAGACAGAAGCTACAAGCATCATTCTGACTGTACTTTTTTTTTTCAATCTGCAGAAACTTTTATTCATGTATGCAGAGAGCCTGTTTTCTGTTGAACCGTTCAACAGAAAATAGTTTAAACAATATTTATCACCAGTTAGGTGCTTGTTTATAGTTATATAGCCAAATAATACAATGAGTAATGAAAGTGTTTTTTAGTATTTTATAGTAAAAAGAAATGAATTATGAGTCTGAATCCTTTCCCTTTAAAAACAAAACTTAACATGTGTCTCACTCAAAGATACTTGCTTGAAAATAATATTTTGGCCTTTATGGTCTATGTAAAACTGTAATAAGATAGTATTTCTCAGATTAACTTTGTAGAACACTAGTAACCATATACTTTTCTTTTCACTCAAGGAGAAGTACAAATGTCTACCACAAGACGAAAACGTTGTATGTTATGTTGTTTACCGTAAGCTGTAGTAAAATGAGCTCAATTGTTGACAGGTATGTTTATAGAGACTTTTAATTATATAAAATTACTTAAAATTCACTATTAAAATGATGATTTATGTCAGATTAACAGGAATTTTATCCATAAATATGATTATTTATGTTTCTGTACTGAACAAACAGGATACAATACATGTAATAGTAAGTAAAATATATTAGCATTTTGGGTGCTGGTATTGGAACTTGAGCTTGGGGCCTGAGTTTTTTTCCCTCTACCACTTTAGGCATAGCTCCACTTCTGCGTTTTTTTGGTGGTTAATTGGAGATAAGAGTCTTAACAGACTTTCTTATGCGAGTCTGGATGACAAGGACTGCAGGCATGAGCTGCCAGTGGTATCTGGCTACATTAGTTTTTTGTTGTTGTTGTGGGGCTTGAACTCAGTACCTGAGTGCTGTCCCTGAGATTTTGTGCTCAAGGCTAGCACTCTACCACCTTGAGACACAGTGCCACTTCCAGTTTTCTGGTGGTTAAATGGAGGTATGAGTCTCATAGACTTTCCTGCCTGGACTGGCTTTGAACCGTGATCCTCAGATCTCAGCCTCCTGAGTTGCTAGGATTACAGGTGTGAGCCTCAGGCACCCTACTAACATTAGCATTTTTAAGAGCCAAAGCAAACATCATATTTCTTATATTTTTAATGGATCTTAAATCTTAATCTCAAAGTGCTTTACTCAAAATTTGTTATGTAACAACTGCAGATATTTTTTGGCACCCTCTAAAGTCTCCTGGTGCTCAGTCCATCCTTTCAACATCTTAGCATTTGTGACTGATAAGTGGTAAATAAATTAGAATCATTGGTTGAATTTTAATTTTTAAATCACTTCTGGGAATAGGATAAATCTCCTTATTGATTCTAAGATTCTTGAGGTTGTTTGTTTGCATTTTAACATCTCTTATGTTTGACAAATACCTAGTTCACTTTAACTAGCATTTTTTCTGTTTTTTTTAATGGACCTATAAAGAATGGTGGCCTTAAAGTCAGTAGTATGCTAAATATGGTAAAATTATAGTAACACTTTTAGAGCACCTACTCTCTGATAATGAGTGGCATATTTTATGTGTTAACTTCATAATTCTATACACTTTTACAAATGTAGATTAGTGAGGATAAACAACTTGTTTAAAATCACATTTCTAGTAAGTGACGAACTGGAATTTTAACCTGTGTTGATTGATTTGTCTGACCATCATACTGCACTGTGTAATTCATGGGTAGAGGATTCTTTGAGTTTTTCAGGTAGAAGTAGTTGTTGACATTTAAAGGCAGCCTTCCTCCTTTTCAATGGACTGAAGAGTGAAGATACTCACTATACAGAATATAAGACTTGAGGAACAAGAAATTCTCTTAAGAGAATTGGGTTTTGCCCTAGTTGCAGATGAACTCTGAGTGGACTTTTCAGAAAGGGTATTTATTTAGTGCCCTAGAGAGATTGGATATGATTTTGGCATTACACTTCTAAATAATTGCCAGTTTCCCTCCTAGTCAGTGTACCATTTAGGGCTGACGTCTGTTCCGTCAAAGAGCAGCAGTATTTTTTTAAGCACTGGGACTTGAAGTGCTTGCTTTGTTGCTCTACCACTTGAGCCATGCCCTCAGCCCTAAAGCTGTAATTATTAATGGATTACTTAGGCCTGTAAATATTATGAAAGGTTTTTTTCACAAATATACAAGCATGTATAGATTCTTCAGTCTATTCATAAAAAGTCCATGAAATAAAGGTACATATGATCTCAATAAGTCCAGAAAGTACATTATAGGCTATAAGTCTTTACGTGCCACAAAAAGATGTGAATAAGGGATTGAATGATAGATTAATGTAAAAAGTCATAAACCATTGGAAACTGAAGAAGCTAGCCACCACTGGTCTTGTCAATGGATTAGTAAATAAATGAAAATAATTAATGGATTATTGTTATATTTATGAGCAATTTGTGCTTTATTTTTTTTATTTTGGGTCCGGTCGTGGGGCCTGAACTCTGGGCCTGGGCACTGTCCCTCAGCTCTTCAGCTCAAGGCTAGCGCTCTACCACTTGAGCCACAGTGCCACTTCCGGCTTTTTTTCTTTTTGCTTATGTGGTGCTGAGGAATCGAACCCAGGGCCTCAGGCATGCAAGGCAAGCGCTCTACCACTGAGCCACCTTCCCAGCCCCCAATTTGTGCTTTATTAAAGTGAATGTCTCAGAAAAAAGTTTAAATTATGCTAATTTCATACTGGATTCAGATGGTTTTTTTTCTGTTTATTAGGTTGGAGCAGTATATTTAAAGTGGTTATATTACATTGTTAGCATATTGTAGAGATAGTATAGTTAAGTAAAAAGACTTTAAAATTCATGTATTGAAAAACTTTTAAGCATGGCTAAAAATAGCTAAACTTTATTAGAAAAAAAGGTTAGAGCTTTAATTTGTACAGTCCCTTAACTTAACAAATCCTAGATATAACCAAGTGGATCCACCTCTCACTGTGGCGTTGATGTTCAGTGATCTGCTTTTCTATATCTTACATATCTTTTTTTTTTTTTTTTGGTCGGTTGTGGGGCTTGAACTCTGGGCTTGGGCACTATCCCTCAGCTCTTCAGCTCAAGGCTAGTGCTCTACGGCTTGAGCCACAGTGCCACTTCCATCTTACATATCTTATATCTGTCTACTTTCTTTTTTTTTTAGAGATGACAGTAGTATTTTTGATGGGTTGGTGGAAGAAGATGACAAGGACAAAGCAAAAAGGTAGCTTAATATGAGATATAAGATAATCATAATATGTAAATAATATATGAGTGTAGTAAATAATATATACATGTATACTTGTAAATAAAATTAATATTTTGCCAAAGCTCTCTGCTTTGAGAATTTAGATATATTAGGAAGTAGAAGAGTTTAGACAGTATATTTGTTTTTTAACAATGAAGTAACATTCTCCTCCTCTAATCATTTGAAAAAGTATGCTTTGCTTTTAACAAAACTTGAACTAGAAAATCCATCTTCAGGGAGCAGGTAATTGTAGATACTATAAAATGGTAGCACTGGAGTTTGAACTTAGGGCCTCTCACTTGCTTGTCAGGTGTTCAGCTACTTGAGTCATGTCCCCAGCTCTCAAGAGCTTTTTGTTTACTGGTTACTCCTTTACATAGAATAGCAGTAATTGTTCATTTAATACATATATTTTGAATGCTTACTGTTGTTAGGTATAATGACTAAGTACTTATGTGGAACATTTGAGCCTACACCCTAATAGAAAGAAGAAGCAAAAACTAATTATAGCTCTCTGTTAGAGCCTAGGATCTAAATATATAAAGAAGAAATAACATTAGATGGATAACTTTCTCTTAGTACTTTTTAATAATGCATACTTACACACACAAAATGTTTCTCTATTTACAATCTTGTAAATTTACAATCATAGGTGGATGTCAAATAAACTTGCAGTGTGAATGTAGTTTCTTACTGGCATTTTTGTAAAAACACATAAGTTAAATGCCTGATAAGCAAAATTTTCTGTACTGGTAAACTGAGATGAAAAACTATTGCCCAAACTAATATTCTATCATTGATAAACCTAGAAGTAAGTTTATTACTATCTATCTGTACGTGTTGACGTATATGCTGTGTCATGTCCAAATTGATGTTGTATTACATTTTTTGTGTAATTCAATGGATTGTTTAAAATTGCTTTCTCCTTTTATCAGAGTATCTAGAAACAAATCTGAAAAGAAACGTAGAGATCAGTTTAATGTTCTCATTAAAGAACTGGGTTCCATGCTTCCTGGTAATGCTAGAAAGATGGACAAATCTACTGTTCTGCAGAAAAGCATTGATTTTTTACGAAAACATAAAGGTAAATTTTTAATTTTGTAAAATGGTTGCTGATTTCTTTTGAAAAGGGCCTATTCCTTAAAGTATGAGATACTGTAGCTACAGACACATAAGATTAGATCCTTCTTCACCTTTTTAAGAGAGAGAATTTATTTTACTGTAAAGGTGATGTGCAACGGGGTTATAGTTACATAAGTAAGGTATTGAGTACATTTCTTGTTGAACCATGTAACCCCTTCCCTCATTTTCTCCCACTTTCCCTCATTCCCCCTCCCCCCCCACCAACCAACTTGGGATTGTCACCCAAGTTGTAAAGTTTGTTTCCAACACAGTGACTGTCTTGTGAGTATCGCAAGTATTCCCCTTCCCTTCCCCAAATCAGATAAATGTATATATAAGACACAGGGTACCAAAATCAAAAACAGTGACAACAGAGGATAAATCAAAGGAAAAAAAAAACATGAAAGAAAAAAGAAATAACTTCACAGAGTACATTAAAAACAAAAACAAAACCCTCTTGTTTCCATATCTGGGAGTTCATTTCAATTAGCATCATTTTATATGGTCATATGTACATAGCTGTTGAGCTACTGTGATCCTCTGTTAGAACTATCCTAGACATATACTAATTATTACAAATGAGGGAAACCATGGGGCCTATGTTTCTTTGGGTCTGGCTTACTTCACTTAATATGATTTTTTTCAAGTCTCTTTATTTCCTTATGAATGGGGCAATGTCGTTCTTTCTTATGGAAGCATAAAATTCCATTGTGTATATATATATACCACATTTTCATGATCCATTCATTACTGAGGGGCATCTGGGTTGATTGCATATCTTAGTTATGGTAAATAATGCTTCAGTGAACATAGTAGTGCTGGTAGCTTTAGTGCGGCCTTGTTTTTGACCATTTGGGTAAATGTCCAGGAGTGTTTGTTACATTCCCTCTTTATCCCCATACTGGAGCCTTGAGCCTTGAGCTCTCACTTGGCCTTTTCATTCACAAGCTAGTGCTCTACCACTTGAGTCATGCCTCCACTTCCAGCGTTTTGCTGGTTATTTGGACATAAGGGTCTTTGTCTGCCTTGGTTGGCTTCAAACCTTGATTTGTAAATGTGTCAGAATTGCTTATTGTGTTTACTATCACCACTGTCATTACATTATATCTCTAAAGATAGTATTCAGTGTTCTTTTTAGATGATACACTGATTGAGATTAATCCCTAATTAGACACTATATGCTCAATGCTATTGGGTTTTTTTGTTGTTTTTTTTGGGGGGTGGTCCGGTCGTGGGGCCTGAACTCTGGGCCTGGGCGCTGTCCCTCAGCTCTTCAGCTCAAGGCTAGCACTCTACCACTTGAGCCACAGTGCCACTTCCGGCTTTTTTCTTTTTTGCTTATGTGGTGCTGAGGAATCGAACCCAGGGCCTCAGGCATGCAAGGCAAATGCTCTACCACTGAGCCACCTTCCCAGCCCTAAATACTATTGTTGAATGAAGTGAAATGAAATGCATATATTTCCCCCTGAAAATACCTGGTTTGGCACTCAGTTTTTCTCCCCCACTCCCCCCCTCAAAAAAATGGGTATATAATTCTCAAAGAAATAAAATTCATACTAAAAGGAAATTCTTAAATATTTATTCTTCTAAATAGACCTGTGTTTAGCAAAACAGATAAGATTTTCTTGTGGATTTTAAGTCTCTTCCTCTAAATGTATATAATTGGTATGAAATCAAAAAAGTAGAATTACATGTTGCAGAATTAGTGGCTATACATTTAATTTACTCTTTATATTCTAGTATAGGCATTTTTTTTTCTTTTTTGGGTCCGGTCATGGGGCCTGAACTCTGGGCCTGGACACTCCCTCAGCTCTTCAGCTCAAGGCTAGTGCTCTACCACTTGAGCCACATTGCTCTACCACTGAGCAACCTTCCCAGCCCACATTTCTTTTTTTTTAATAGGCATTTCCTATATGCCAAATTTGGTATGACAGTATGTTGTATTTATGTATTGATAATAAATAAAGTAATCCATACCTGTCACTATAAAACAAAGTATATTTTGTAGAAAAACAGCCTATGAAATAAATTTTTGTTTGGTTTGGTTATCATAATATGTCTGTATTTTAAAAATGGAAAAGATTTCGTTACCTAAATTATTCAGATTTTACAAACCAGATGCCCTCCAGTGGAAAAATGGAGCAAGAAAATATGGTATATATCCACAATAGAATTCTATGCCTCCATCAGAAAAAATGATATTGTACTATTCGTAAGGAAATGGAAAGGCTTGGAAAAATTAAGTGAAGTAAGCCTGACCCAATGAACATAGGTTGCATGGTTTCCCTCATTTGTTCTAACTAGAATGTGCCTATAAATATACAGGTAAACACATTGGATAGTAAGGACAAAAAAAATATAATGTACACAATACATTATACAGGACTTTAGACATTGGCACAGCAAAACCAAAGGGGGATATTCTTAGGAGAGGATCACAGAAGTTCAATAGCATGTGTATATGATCATATAAAATGATGTTTATGGAAATGAATCCCAAGAAATTGAAACAAAAAATTTTTGGTTTTTCTCTTTTGTTGCTGTTTTTGTTTTCTGTACCTTTTGTGTATAAATTTGTCTGTTTGAAGGAGGGTAAGGAGGAGCACAGAAATGGTGGGACAAAGGGTGAACACGTACAGCAGTGATAATAGATAATGTGTTGAAAATGAACTATACAACTTGGGGTAAAGGGGCCCTTAGGGAAACACTGAGAGAAAACAAGAGAAGAGATGACACTGTTCAAGAAGAAATGTATTCATTCCCTGACTTATGTGTCTGTAATCCCTCTGACCATCACCTTTATAATGAAATGAAAACAATACGGATTTAAAAAATAGTTCCGATTTTATTGTCATTATTAACTTTCTCATAGCTACTATTAGAAGTGTATAGCAAAATAAAATAGTAATAATTATGAAAAACTCTTTGCCATTTAGAACATGTACAGAGCAGATACTAAGCAGAGACATTTCAAATGTCATGTCATTTGATTATAAAAAAGTATTTATAGATTGGGAGGAATCTTTTTGCCTAAAAATAAGCAGGGCTAAGGTCATCTTTGTTAAAAACAGACTGACCTCATTGGCTCCTTTCTTCTAGGCTCATTTCTTATCTTTGGTCTAGATATTGCCAATGAATGATGAGGAAAAAAAGAATTCCTGCAAAACTGTTTGAAATAATCTTGTTTCAATATGCCTATTCTTCTTCCTGTTTGGAAATTGTGTCGAGCAGAAAGTAGTCTCAGGCCCTAAATCTTATCAGAACTCCCTAGTAAAAAGAAAAAGAGAAACTAGTATTACTAGGAGACTACATCGAAGGAGAGAATGTCCCACATAAATACAAATATTTTATCCTTCCAAAACTTGGCTTCCTATTTACATATACAAATAATGTTACTGCCTATCATTCTCATCTATTCATTTATAATGAAGAGAGAAGACAACTTGTGGATTTTTGTACTGTCCCAGTAGTTGGATTATGCCACTAAGATGTTGAATTTTTTTTTCTTTTTACAGAAATAACTGCACAGTCAGATGCTAGTGAAATTCGACAGGACTGGAAACCTACATTCCTTAGTAATGAAGAGTTTACACAGTTAATGTTAGAGGTATGTCCCAATTTAATTTGTGAAAGTTTTGTTTTCCTTAAATCACAATGGTGCTTAGTTTTAGTATAGTTTTTAGCAGTATTGTTAATGTTGAGAAGCCTTATTCAGTGTAACTGTAATCATGTATATGTACAATTAAAATTAGTCAATGTTAAGTATTATGAGCAAGTACCAGTATTGTTGAAAAGTAACAAATTTTTATATTTTCAATATATGTCAACTTTTGAGATACGTTATAAAAGTCAAAATCCTGAGTTTTCCACATGAAACAATGACAAATTCATTATTACAAATAGTAGGATATATTACTGCATGTTAAATATTTCTTTGAAATATGCCGTTTTAGTCCAGTTCAGCTGCTATGCCAAAATATTACAAATTGGGTAGCTTATGAACAATAGAAATTTATTTCTCACAGTTCTGGAGGCTATGAAGTTCAAGATCAAGGCACCAGTGGACTTGATGTTTGGTGAGAGCTCTTGATTCTTAGTTCATAGGTGATCATCTTCTTACTATGACCTAACTTGATAGAAGGGGCAGAAGAGCTCTCAGGAGCCTTTATAAGAACATTAATACCATTTATGGGGAATACCACTTTTTTCACTTAATTACTTCCTAAAGCCCCCACCTTTCAAATACAATTACATTGGGAATTAGATTTCTGAACTTTGCAAATCATTTAGTCTATATCAGTTCCTACTGGATGGTAAATTTTTTTTATTTAATTAAATTCTGTCTTAAAACAACACAAAATTATAATTAAAGATGTATTTTGAAAATAAAAGTAAAATATATATTGAAAAGTGACAGTTCTTTAGGTAGAGACTTTTCAGTGGAAATGAGCAGTATTCTTCATGGCAAAATTACACAATCTGGAACATTTTTGTTTATAATTGCAGAACTTCATATGCAGTGCAGCTAATTGTAAAATTCACAAAAAATCTTGACTCATACCTAGCAATCTTAGTTTTTTGACTTTGTAATAATCTTTTCCTGTATAGAATAGTATGAGTATTATCTGTACATATAGAGTATGCAGAGTTCAGTATCAAATTTCTATGAAAATTTACAATTTGGAAGCAACAGCTAATGGCAACAAAAATAGGTTCTATGAGGGAACAGATGACACTGGATGAAAGGAAATGCACTTATTACCTGACACCTGTAAATGTAACCCCTCTGCACATCACCTCTATAACAACAATAAATTAAAAACAAAACAAGTAAAAGAGCTAAAGTGCTTGCTTGGCTTAAATGGAGGTTCCGGGTTCAATCCTCAATACAGCTTTTCCACCAAAAAGAGAGGAAAAAAAGAAAAGTAGGTTCTAGTTACTCTGGAGTTTCAGGCATGAGGATTAGGAATTGGTGGCTAGCATAAACAAACATAGCAGGGAGATTTGTTTCCAAAAACAAACAAAACCCAATCTCTAAAAAAGTAGATATAGAAGGAATACAAGAAAGCAATTGAGATGAGGAAGTTAAAGATTGTTTAAAAAATGTATTAGAGCCTAATTTGTTTGTTCTTATTGTTTGAGCTTAATTACATATATATATATATATATATATATATATCTCACACACACACACACACAGACTGTGTCTCACGTCTTCAGTATTTCTACTGAGATGTGAAGCAAATATTTTTAAAATAATGATTCATATTATAATTGCTAGATGAAGTCTTTGTATGTTTAGTAGAAATGTTACTATATGGAAACTTGTTGGAATGTAACTATAAACATTTAACGTTTGTACTTTAAAAATGAAAATAAGTATAAAAACTCAGTAGACAACATCTCTTTCTTAAGATAAGGGAATCAAGTAACAAAGGCATTCTTTTTTTTTGGGGGGGGGGGGGGTCATGAGGCTTCAACTCTGGGCCTGAGCACTGTCCCTCAGCTCTTTGGCTCAATGCTAGTGCTCTACCACTTGAGCTATAGTGCCACTTCCATTAAAGGCATTCTTAAATGTATCCAAAGTAAGTGGCTAGGATTCACCTCAGGCAGTCTGTCTTCTGATGCCATGTCTCAGCCACTGTGCATAGTGTTTCTTACCAGACTTCTATAGTAAAAGCTCCTATGGCAGAGGACTTCTAGCTCTGGAACTAGCAATTAGCTCTTGAAATGAGTACATATAACTTACAAACCAAATAATAGTTCCTAATTTTACTGTTTTCCTCTAGAAATAGTTTGACATCCAAAAAATGTCTGTTTAGAGCCAATTGTAGTAATGTTTATAAAAGAGTATAGACAAGCTAATGTTTACAACAGAAAGGAAATGACTCTTATTTTTTATTATATAATAAATACTGTCAATGCAGTTGTTTAGTAAGACCTTCTGTTCATGATAGACTACTTATTTTGTTTTAATGGTATGAAAATTTTATTAGAAACTTAAAAAGTATAACTACTCATTTATGAATAATATTAACATATTTGTCTTATTAATAAACTAAACATAGAAGTGTTATCTTCACATTTTTTCATAAATCAAAGATTCTGATAATTACTAAAGCATATGTTGTATATGCAATAGGTAAGTACCAAAGGAAAAAATAAATGTTCTAGACATGCTGACATTATTTATATCAAAAAGTTATATTAAAACTCTGAAAAAAATAATCCTCATGATTGTCTTCTTGAATTTTAAGTTTATATTTATAAGTATTGTACTTAATATGGATTTTTAATTTTAATATGTATAATAAGTAAATATATTTTAACATGAATATGCCAACATAAAAGATGTGGCATAGCCGGGCGCTGGTGGCTCACGCCTGTAATCCTAGCTACTCAATGAGGCTGAGATCTGAGGATCGCGGTTCAAAGCCAGCCCAGGCAGGAGAGACCTATCTCCAATAAACCACCAGAAAACCAGAAGTGGCGCTGTAGCTCAAATGGTAGAGCGCTCGCCTTGAGCTGAAGAGCTGAAGGACAGCGCCCAGGCCCAGAGTTCAAGCCCCACGACCGACAAAAAAAAAGAAAGATGTGGCATATATTATACCTTGAATCTAGAGGTTTGTTCATATTTTACAAACTTAATTAAGTCTTTCCAAATTTGCTGATTGGATATGAAAAGTTTTGTTTATGTGTGGTTTGTTTTTTATTTTTTGTTTTTTTGTTTTGTTATCATGGGGCTTGAACTCTGGGCTTGGGCACTGTCCCTTAGCTCTTCAGCTCAAGGCTAGCGCTCTATCACTTGAGCCACAGTGCCACTTCCAGTTTTCTGGTAGTTAATTGGTAATAAGAGTCTCAATGAACATTCCTTCGGGCTGGCTTTGAACTGCTATCCTCAGATCTCAGCCTCCTGAATAGCTAGTATTATAGGCATGAGCCACCGGTACCTGGCAAAAAGTTTGGATTCATAACTTGTAACTTGTTTCATAAAATAAAACTGGGTTTGTTTTGGTGACATTTATTTGACTAGAACATAACATAGTTGTGTCAGTGTTGATTGATTGTATTGATCAGACTACACATAAACAGGCTCTTTACCATTTTAGCAGAATTTCGGATCTAGGCTGTAGCTGCTAGTGTTAAGATCTTGATTGGATCATTTAGCTCAACGTTATTTTATGGTGATGCCTAGAGAATTTCAGCCAGCCCATGATGGTCAGATAGCTAGTTATGGAAAAACTGAAATTTATGGAAACACTGAAATTAAAGTCATAAATTTCACCTTTATATTTCACCTCTAAATTTGTGTTGGCTCCAGTCTCTCATAAGCTATCCTTGTCTTTTTTTCTTTTCGGTGAGGAATAGTTCTTCCTATCATTTGAGTAAGGAGTTACTCAGGACAGCTGAGCCTGCTCAGATCGCTGCAGTCATCTCTGAAATCTCCCTGCCAGCTGCCAGCTCTCTCCCATAGTCTTTAAGGAAAGAGATAGTGCTTTGTGTCTCTGCTAAAGAATCCACAAAGAACTTCTGTTGCTTTTCTAGAATTTTCATTGACCATTTCCCAAAACTAATCTCTATTATGTATAGATAAGTAAAAAGATAGAGTTTTAAATTAAACCTTCTCTTTATTAAGTTCACAGTTTGGCTGTGTAATGGAGATGTCCTCTGCCTCATTCCACACCTTATAATCATCCTCTTCAATAGCCCTGTAGTTTTGGTATACCATGTACCTTCATGAGAAATCATGTCCCTCTTCTCAAAAGACTGAGTCTTAATTTTTTTCTTCTATGTCACGACTTTGGCAAAATGTATCGGAGTCTGTTCTGTGCTTGCAAAAGATGAAAGATTAAGTATTAGATCTAGATGTGGGATTAAATTATTAACAGTTTTGATTTCAATTCATTGTCTTCATAGAAGGGAGAGCTAGCAAATGTCCTAATAGCAAGTACTTATCATAGTTGGCTGTTTACTTTTGAAAGTTCAGTGTAGTTTTACTATTCAAGATAGTAATAATAAGATAATTACTGATGGAATAACAATATATTAACACTGGCATTATTATACTAATGAAACCTTTACTAAATCTTTACTAATATATGAGTTGGTTTAAATTACGATATTTCTGTTCTCCCCCTCCATTACCGAAAAGCATGTTTGTTTGAGCTGTTCTAGAAGGTAGGCATCTCCTCAGTGTAAATTTTCTCTCTAATAGTTACATTTCTCCTCCAATAGAAGAGGAGGTGCCTTTTCCTGTAAATTACTTAGAATTAATGAGAGAGATGCTTTCATTCCCAGGTCCATAATTTATACACTACAAGTGCTTCTCCCTTGTGCCCCACATACATTAGAATCTTAGACACAAGGATAACTAACAAGCAGTACCCTTTAAGAGTGCTCTTTAATTTAAAAAGTACCTTCAGTTTACCTACTGGGTCTTCTTTCCTTTAGCTCGCCAATATACTTATTGATCTTTTTGTTTTGTCTTATTTTTTAATGTGTTCCCTTGATATTTGGTCGCTTTCTGTTGCCCTTTCTTCTCAAGTTTATAAATGATTGGGTTATGGTTTTTGGCCATCTGCCCATTCTAAATTAATTGTAGTCTCTTGCCTCCCTACAGACCTCACTATTTTTTTTTAAATCCCCAAAATTCATTTCTCATTTTTTCCTTGTCCGACAGTGAACTTATTATGCATTGTACCACCCCATCTTCTTCCTCGCTGACCTTACTCTGTGCCGTTGACTACTGACAATGTGTTCTGTCTTATTTCTCTAGGTTTTTTCTTCTACTCATCCCCATATATAGGTAATTCTTCCAATGATTCATCTTTGGCATGCTTCTTTCTTCTGAAGGTCTTATTTCTTCAGCTGTCATTTCTGTGCCTAGGATTCTCAAAAACGCTTTGAAAATATAAAGTATAGGATTGTTTTATTATTAAGTCTGTCTCCTGCTCTAAATTACTGCTGAAGAAATTAACATTGCTCAGTGCTTGGCTAATCCTTTCAAATTCTCATCATATTTCTCTGACTCAGTTTTCTGTTTTAAGTCCAATTTAGTAGTTCTGATGGCCTTTCTAGACTACTCATATTGAAGCATACATACCCACTTATTCTAAAATCTTCCGTTGCTTTCCCAGTAATGTATATAAAGTCTTTATATCCCAACTTGGAATTTAAGACTTTCATAATTTGGCCTCACTTACGGGCTTAATTTCTTACTACTCTGTTTACTCTATTTCTCGTGTATCTCCCTACACATCAGAGCTATACTTTTCTGTTAAAATTTCCAAAGTGATGATAATGTTCTCTCCTATGTCTAAGGCATATTACTGGTTGTATGTATATAATAGATATGAGAGCATATTCAAAAAGCCATATAGGACTATAAGTAAAAGCAGAACATTAATTATCTTTAGAAACAAGCTGTCAAGTAGACTGCCAAGGAGTGATTTTCCCCCCTTAGGAGCATTTAAAGATACATAAAAACATATACCAAAATACTATAAAGAAGGAAGCATGGTATTTTGACAGTACTCTGGGTATTTCCATATCAGTTCCTTGACATGTTTCTTATTTCTGTCCTGTGAAACACTTTTTCACTTAACTGACCATTATGTTTAATTTCAGGCTCTTGATGGTTTTTTTTTAGCAATCATGACAGATGGAAGTATAATATATGTATCTGAGAGTGTAACTTCATTACTTGAACAACTGCCAGTAAGTATAAAAATCTAACAATATTCTTATTATTTAATGCCTACTCTAAATATTCCTTAAAACACTAGGAAATGGACCTTGAGAGCAATGCTGAATAATGATTGAGGGGTTGAAGCTCCATGCAGATCTTTGTTTTATCATTGCTGTGTTTTCTCAGATTAGTCATAACTCTAGAACATGTTTACTCACCATTTTAACTTTAGTAGTTCTTCCTTTCTCCATTCTAATGGTAACTTTTCAATGTTTTCTATCAGCTGGAGGAAGGTTTTAAACACTGAAAGTATCCCCCAAATAAACAATTTTTCCTGAGGTACTTATTGCAAAAATAATTTTCTCAAAAGAATGACTTCTAAAAATACTAAAAATTAGTAGACTTGCAATTTTTCTTCAGCATTACTTGAATTGATGATAAAGTATTGGCTATATTTAATTTGTTGTGTAGGAACACTAACATATAAAGAATATGTATATTGTATAATTTTTGAGAAGATGAATTGTATGTTTGCTTTTCTACTATGTATATAGAGCATCCACTTTGTACCGAACACTATGCTATTTGCTCTGCTGCAATTTATCATTTTTATTTTTATTTTTTGTGCCAGTACTGAACTTTGAACTCAGGGCCTGTATGATGTCCCTGAGATTTTCTGCTCAAGGTTAGCACTCTACCACTTGGGTCATAGTTCCACTTCCAGCTTTTTTTTTGTGGGGCTTGAACTCAGGGTCTAGGCATTATCCCTGAGCTCTTTTGCTCAAGACTAGAGCTCTGTCACTTTGAGCCACAGCCCATTTCTGGTTTACTTGTGGTTAATGGAGATAAGAGTCTTACAGACTTTCCTGCCTGGCTGGTTTCGAACCGTGATCCTCAGCCTCTGATCTCAGCCTCCTGAGTAGCTAGGATTTCAGATGTGAGCCACCACTGCCCGGCTTGATAATTTTTTAAATTCATGTATAATTTTACTTAATACATTATCTAAGATGATACTTTGGTATAAATAATGTTTAATTTTTTTCTTAAAAATGCTTGTTTTCTTTGAAAACTTAAGACAATACAAGATAAACTGCTTTGTGAATATTTCTTACAATATTGAAAAAAAAAAGCCTGCACTGGTGGCTGACACCTAAATTCTAGCTACTTAGTAGGTTGAGATCTTAGGATTGAGCTTCAAAGCCAGGAACTGGCTTTGAACCTAAGGGAATTATTTCTAATTAACCAGAAAAAGCTGTAAATTGAGGCATGGCTCAAGTGAATGAGCATCATGTGAATCAAAAACTGAATGAGGGCTCAAGGGTCCAAGTTTAAGCCCCAATATTTACAAAAACAAAGCAAAACAAAAAACCTAAAAAGCAGTACTGACAAAAACAAAACAAAAAAACCTAAAAAGTAGTTACTCTAGCACTTTGTATCTTATAAGAAAAAGCTACACTATACTTAAAAGGACAAACTCTAAAAGGGCAATTTCTTGCTGAAAGATGAGCAGTAAGTTATTTACCATTTTTTGGGGTGGGTCACATAGAAAATAACTGCTTTTCTAGGAGCTTTCTTTTTCAGTGGGTTCAAATAGTGAAAAAATGGTATGCAAAAATATAACTTAAAATTTTGAGTTGTTATATGATAATGAAGGCCAGTTTGGATGGGTAAGTCAGAATTTTTGTCCCTACTGCCTGTAAATGAAGAATTTTACAGTTGTTTAAAGATACATTATTTCCAAAGCTAGGTACAAGTGGCTCACATCTATAATCCTAGCTATATAGGAGGTTGAGATAGAAAGGATCATAGTTTGAGGCTAGCCTAGGCATACACGTGAGACCCTTTTCAACCAATAGCTGAGTGCAATGCCACATACTTATCTGCACACCTGAATGGCAAGGCTGAGTTCAGGAGGATCTCCGTTCCAGGCCAGCCCAGCTCCAGAAAAGTCCACAAGACTCCATCTCAACATCAAGAAGATGGATCATCCCAGCTATTGCAGGATGTCTAAAAATAGACATACTATAGTCTAGGCACATGCCCCAGCAGGAAGCAAGACTCTATCTTAAAAATAATTAGTGCAAGAAAAGGCTGGAGTGTGGCTCAGTGGTAGAGCACCTGCCTAGTAAGCACACAACCATGAAATGGAACCCAGTACTACCCCAAGAAAAGTAATATGCAAAATATATTTTGCTTTCATTTTTATTATTATAATCTTATTTGTAAGCAGTTGTAAAGGGGTTTCAATCCAATGTGTAAGTTTATAAGTACAGTGCAACTTAATGTCACACTTTTATCATTCTCCTCTTTCTAGCTTTCATTTCTTTTTCATGAAAATGATGGGAGAAAAACCGAGATAGCTACTATTTCCTTCTGTTAGAATCTTGAATTGTGTTTGGGTACTAAATGTTATAACATCGTGTCATTAACCTCACGGTAGGTATAGTGGTCAGTGGAAAAGTTGACACTCATCATGAAAGGAAAAGAACTAGAATTTGGTGAAGAACTTAGACAGTAGCCATTCAGGTCCTTTTCTATGAATAGGAAATCCAATAAATTTGTAAATAGAAAAGCAAGGGTGATATAGGCTGAATCATGACTCTCAGTGAAATAGTAAAAGAAATCCCTAATAAGAATAAATAACAGCTGGGCACCGGTGGCTCATGCCTGTAATCCTAGCTACTCAGGAGGCTGAGATCTTAACATCGCTGTTCAAAGCCAACCAAGGCAGCAAAGTCCGTGAGACTCTTATCTCCAGCAAACCACTAGAAAACCGGCAGTGGCGCTGTGGCTCAAGCAGTAGAGCACTCGCCTTGAGCTGAAGAGTGCAAACAAAGTGCCCCAGCCCAGAGTTCAAGCCCCATGACCGACAAAAAAAAAAAGAAAAAAAGAATAAATAACATAAGAAGCTATAATCATTCTTGAAATGAAATTTTAGTTATTATTGGTTTCTATCCAGACTACTCTTTGCATTCCCATCAATGCCTGTATTTTGATACTTCATTGTCAGTGAAAGACAGTTTTCAATCATTTCTATTCATGCTTGAAATTTTATTTCATCATTTCAGTTCACCCTTGGAGTTTTGGTGTCTCTTCAGTCTTCCACAAGAATTGCTAAATTTATATATGTGTTTGTGTGCATGTGTATATGTCTATAAATGTATGTATATAGATATTGGTGTGGCAACCCTTCGAACCAGTGTCAACTTGTGGGCCCAAAATTATTTGCTATACTAATTATTATATGTGAAGGGCTGGTCAGATGTGCTTTAGTTGGAAGGACATAGATGTTAAAATAATAAGTGCCTTTTAATGTGACATGAGTGATATGAGTAATAAGTACTGAAGGAATTTTATTTTTATCATGAATTTTGGTGTTATGAAGGAAATAATTGAATTTTGGTGTGATAAAGCAAATAATTTGAAGGAAATAATTCAATTTTGGTGTTATAAAGAAAATAATTTGAACTGGTCTTTGAAAGATGAGAGATAAAGTTATGTGAAGATGGTAAAAAGTCATTCCACTTTCTAAGGTGCACTTTGAGGGCTAGACAAAAGACAGACAGAAGACTGTGATTGTATGTACGGCTTATATTTGTACAGTGAATAGTACGGCATCCCTTCTCACTTCCTGTCGTGTCCTGTGTCTGTTTCATTCCTGTTATTTTTGTTTCTAACCAGTGGAACTCTTCAAGCAATTTTTTTTGATTGGTCATGGGACTTGTACTCAGAGCCTGGACGCTCCCTAAGGTTTTGCACTCCAAGGCTAGTGCTCTTTACCACTTTAAGCCACTGTGTCACTTCAGTTTTCTTGTGGTTAATTGGAAATAAGAGTCTCACAGACTTTCTTGCCCAGGCTGGCTTAGAACTGTGATCTAAGATCTCACTCAGCCTCCTGCGTAGCTAGGATTATAGATGTGAACCACCAGTGCTGGCTGTTTTTCTTTTGTGTGTGGGGGAGTGGGGGGGGTGGTGGTGGTGGTGATGGATTTTTTTTGTTTTTTGTTTTGGTTTGGTTTGCTTTGGGGTTTTTTTGGTACCAGTCCTGGGGCTTGAACTCAGTCTGGACACTGTCCCTGAGCTTTTATCCTCAAGGGTAACACGCTCTTCCACTTGAGCCACAGCTACAGTTCTGACTTTTTTGGTGGTTAATTGGAGGTCAGAGTCTCAGGGTCTTTCCTGCCTGGGCTAGCTCTGAACCTCAATCCTCAGATCTCAGCCTGCTGAGTAGCTAGGATGGCAGGGGTGAGCCACCCAGTCTTTACAAAATGAAGATGGAACTGGTTTAGTTGAATGCAGTTTGACCTTCACAGCTTCTTTTCACTTCCTTTGTCCTTCTCTCACCCTTGCCTCCACTGCTTTTGAGATTTTAGGATTCCACAGAGCAATTTGGAGATGTAAGGAAAGTCCAGTAGAGTAGACTGGACTGCATAGAGTTGTGAATTTGCTGGAATCTTACTGTCATTGTTACTTAAGGATAGGAATTGCCATTTTCATGTTTAACCTTTTGAGAGAAGGCTTTTTGACAGTGAGATATAGTTTAAATGCCTGGGAAAATTGGATAAAAACAAAAGGACGCGTGGACCATTGAAATGACATCCAAGTCAAATCACCTTATTTAGCATGTCCGTGATTCTTTGAGTCATTTATAGGACAGTTATGTAACAATGATAGGGCTGTGTCTCTGTAGAAAAAAATATTTTAACTCTGAGCCCTTTTATATTTTACAATGTTCAAATTTAGTGTAACTGTGTATCAGTCTTTTGGAGGGAATTCGGGGTCTTGTGTTGACTTAGTGTACACACAACCCCAGCCATCAATCTTGTTTTGTTAAGATGTAGTTTGTAACGTCCCATTTATTGGTTTTCAAAAATAATTGAAAGTTAATCACATGTCTTTTAGTAATGATTATGTACTTTGAAAATAAATGCCTCTTGAATAATGAACTACGAATTTCCTTTCAGTCTGACCTTGTGGATCAGAGTCTATTTAACTTTATCCCCGAGGGGGAGCATTCAGAGGTTTATAAAATGCTCTCTACCCACCTGCTGGAGAGTGACTCATTGACTCCTGAGTACTTAAAATGTAAGTAACCAAAAATTCAAGTGTCATATTTTGTACCATTATCCTTTACTTTTTTAAGTTTATGGAAAACATAGATATTTTAAGATACAGTATTTTTATGCATACTATTAACTAGTTTCATAAAAAGAGCCCAGTGATGTATTTTAAATTTTTAAATAAAATCTCAACTGTATTTTATGAGAGAAAATTTGGTGTTCTTGTTTTCCTTATTGTTAACCCAGCTGTGGAAATGAACTCTGTTCTTTTTAAATTATTATTTTCATTATTATTTTGATTCCAATCCTAAGGCTTGAAAACTCAGGACTTAAGCTCTGTCCCTGAGCTCTTTAGCTCAAGATTAGCACCCTACCACTTGAGTCATAGCTCCACTTCCAGCTTTTTTGCTAACTAATTGGAGATAAGAGTCTCAAGGGTTTTCCTGCCCATGCTGGCTTTGAACCATGATTTCTCAGAGCTCAGGCTGAGTAAGATTATAGATGTGAGCCACTGGCACCCAGCTTAAAATGATTTTTAAAAGAAAAATAGTTAACTTTATAATATAATCTTTGATGGATGTATCTAATGTGGCACATCATAAAAAGTGCTAAGAAGAGTAAAATATAGTCCTAGCCAACAAGAAACAAAATATTATAATGTGTTTAGACATTCCTTTAGATTCATTGTACAGATCAGTTCACCTTAGAAGTTCTTTATATTTCCAAATTCTATATATACTAAGAATTGAGAAATGTGCTGTACATATAAATATATGTTTGTATGTATGTCTTTGATAAGAATGGATAAATAGCTTTTCAGAGTGAGCTGAAAATAGAGGCCAGGAAAATCAAGTTTGTATAACATTGATCAATAGACCACTCAAATCTGATACTTAGAAGGAAGATTTGGGTCATGCTTTGACAGATAATAGGAAAGATTGTTCAAGGTAGAGATGGAAACATTAGCTTGAGAATAAGAAGCAAAATGTGTATTTGAAATTAGAGTGGAAATTGAGAAAAGGGACTGCAGAGAAATGGAACAACAGTGGAAGATACTTATACTAGGTGGGGTCATCTATAGGTATTCTGCTTTTATGGACTAAATAAATGTCATGTAGGATGTCTACTGGAAAAAATAATTGTGAACTTATCCAACTTTTTATCACTTATTTCAGCAAAAAATCAGTTAGAATTCTGTTGTCATATGCTTCGAGGAACAATAGATCCAAAGGAACCATCTACGTATGAATATGTGAGATTCATAGGAAATTTCAAATCTTTAAACAGTGGTGAGTTAAAATCCTTCTTTTACAATGTATTTTAACATCGTATTTTTCTAAGCTTTTAGACATATATATTTAAATATTGATGACAAGTAGATTTTACTGGATTAACTGATACTTATTTCCTTATTGTTTTAGTATCCACTTCAGCACACAATGGTTTTGAAGGAACTATACAACGCACACATAGGCCTTCTTATGAAGAGAGAATTTGTTTTGTAGCTACTGTCAGGTTAGCTACACCTCAGTTCATCAAGGTATGTTTAATTGCTCAGGGAGGACTTCAATACAGAGTGTGAGAATTGTCTTTGTGTAGTGTTTTATTATCTCCAAAATGACTGGAAGTTCCTGCAAACATTGCAGAAGCACTGGCTCCAAGTCATTATATATTCATGACCACAATATTTTTTGCAACAGTTAGGAAAGTACTAACTTGTATAACTTGAGCTTTTAGTTTTTGCAGTTAACCAGTGAAAATGATTAATATTACCAATGCTCTATTTTTATGCAAACTCGTAAGAATCATTTGCATGAATAGTTCAGTATCTACATTAAAAGTAAAGGTCAGCCAGGCAATAGTGTCTCACACCTATAATCCTAATTACTCAGGGGGATGAAATCTGAGGATCATGGTTCACAGCCAGCCGGAGCAGCAAAACCCCTGAGACTCTTATCTCCCATTAACCCCACAAAACTGCAAGTGGAGCTGTGGCTTAAAGCGCTAGTTTCCAGGGAAGGAATTTGGGAACAATACCAAGGCCCTGAGCTCAAGCCCCACCACCAATAACTGAAAAAAAGTAAAGGTCCAGAAAATTAGGTTGTTTTCAAAAGATTGTTTTTGAAATGAACAAATGGCTCTTGCTGTATTTATCTTTTAAGTTTGAAATAGTCCATTTCCTGGTCTCAACAAATACATGGTTAGTAGGAAAATAGAAAAGTCAAATAGTTAAACCAATAGAACTGACAAAAAGCCAGGCTAAGATTTAAAATTTGTGAGATACCAGCTGGGTGCTGGTGACTAACACCTGTAATCCTAGTTACTCAGGAAACTGAGATCTGAGGATTGCAGTTCAAAGCCAGCCTGGGCAGAAAAGTCTGTAAGACTCCTATCTCCAATTAAACACAAAAAAAGCTGGAAGTAGCATGATGGCTCAAGTGATAGAGTTCTAGCTTGGAACACAAAAACTCAGTGATAAGTGCCCAGGCCCTGAATTCAAGCCCCAGAACTGGCACTTAAAATTAAAATTAAAAAATTGTGAGATACTATGGAATAAGACAGAAATACTGTTGTTAGCTGTTAGGAGTTTTCCAGTCTTACTCTACTTATTTTGAATTAGGAAATAATCGCAGTGGCTAACATTTGAGTGCTTATTGCTTTCTATATACTTCATGATTCTGTACATAAGAAAACTGACTCAGGGAAGTTATTGGTCAAAAATATGATCTCTTAACTAATAAGAACTGGGACTTGATTCTAATTCTTTTTCTTTCAAAGCTCCAGCTCTTAATTATTACATTGTATAGCAGAAGGTCATCTTAGGACAGACAAAATGGTGTGTTAAATTGAACGTATTATATCATTTAATGTGATCAGAGTCTAGGGTTCATGTATGGAGAAAAGGAGGGGGAAAGTGAGGTAGTTAGAAATGAAACTTGTTTTTTTTTTTTTTTTCCCTATTGAAGCAATTTCAGAATGAGGAAAGGGACATTACATAATTGAATTTGAGCCTTAGTAATATAATTAAGAGCCTTCAGTAGAAAACAAACTGAAGAACAGAGACTGGTAGGTAAGATGCTGTCCAATGAGGTGAATCAATGATAGGGTCTGTTTAAGCATTGAAGATGAATGCTAGAGTAGATTTTTTTTTTTTTAATACCTAGGAGCTGAGCTGGCATTGGTGGCTCACGTCTGTGATCCTGATTACTCAGGAGGCTGAGATCGGGTTACAGTTCAGAACCAGCCCAGGCAGGAAAGTCTGTAAGGCTTTTATCTCCAAAAAGACTACTCAGAAAAGACTGGGAGTGGCACTGTGGCTTAAGTGGTAGAGTAGCTAGCCTTGCGAACAGAGAGACTCAGAGCCCAGGCTCTGAGTTCAAGCCCCAGGACTGAGGGGAAAAATACCTAGAAGGTAAAATTGAAAGGATTTTGTATTATCCATTGTGATGATGAAGGGTAAAATTGAAGAGTATGTTATGACTATTAGATTTTGAACTCTGCCACTACGCAAGAATGTGGCCATTGATGAGATAGGAAATGACGTAATTAGCTTTGAGGCAATTGGTTCAATTTTTGATATATTGAGTTTGAGATGTTTGGAAACAGGCAGAAACAGGAAAAGGTCCAATTTCAGAGTCTAATTCAAGATTACATATGAGTAATGGGAAATGCGTATAATGAGAAGTACTCTTCCTGAAATTTGCATCTTGATTATCATTTGTTGCTATATTTTAAAATCTTATTTTCAGTTTTTCACAGGATGTGAGATCAAATGCCACAGGACTTTTATATGCTAGGCTAGCCCTTTACTACTGAGTTGTATTCCTAACTTGCTATATTTTTACTACTAGAAAATTGAAGTGTCTAAAACTCATTTAGGTAAAAGTTAATTAATAATAACTTTATGTCTTAATAATATTTAGGATTTTTCTAATGACATGAGAATACTTCTAAATTTTGTTAATTTACTTGTAGGAAATGTGTACTGTTGAAGAACCCAATGAAGAGTTTACATCTAGACATAGTTTAGAATGGAAATTTCTTTTTCTAGATCACAGGTAACTTCATTATTAAATTTCATTTAAAAAATGGCCATATATATATATATATATATATATATATATATATGTTTGTTTGTTTTTTGTCGTGGGGCTTGAACTCTGGGCTTGGGCGCTGTCCTTATGCTCTTCAGCGCAAGGCGAGCTCTCTACCGCTTGAGCCATAGCATCACTTCCGGTTTTCTAGCGGTTTATTGGAGATAAGAGTCTCATGAACTTTCCTGTCCGGCCTGGCTTTGAACCGTGATCCTCAAATCTCAGCCTCCTGAGTAGCTAGGATTACAGGCATGAGCCACCGGCGCCTGGCTTAGCCATATAATTTTTGACATTGATCTTAAAGACAAACTTTTTTAAAAAGGATTTTTAACCCATCTTAAAATAAAGCCCCCCTTTCCCCCATGTGATGTCTAGTTGGAGCTTTTTGATGGAAAAGTAATAATGCTGTTTTATTAGGGCACCACCAATAATAGGATATTTGCCATTTGAAGTTTTGGGGACATCAGGCTACGATTACTATCATGTGGATGACCTAGAAAATCTGGCCAAATGTCACGAGCACTGTAAGTAGATTTTAGTATTTCTAGTGATGATAACTATTTGACATTCTATCAATAGAAATGTTGTTTAATGAAAGGTGGTTTTTAAAAATGGATTTATTATTTTTTGAATGTGTGAAGTAGAAATAAATTTAACTTAAACTATATCTCTGAGTCCTAGTAGATTGGTTAACCATACATGTAAAGCAACATCTTTTAGTTTCCCAAAGTACCACAAGACTCATACTTTTGCTTAATAATTTGATAAAAGTTGTCAGATCTTAAAATGTACAGAATATGCTTTGGGAAATACTGCACTTAACAGTTACTTCAAGGAGTAAAATTTTGATTTTGGATTTGAGTTTAAGGTGAAATTCTTCAATGATACTATACCTGACAATATCTGTGGCAGAAATACTCAGGCTTAATATAAATTTATTGTTACTGCCCTCACTGTATCTAGGCAGGAGGATGTCAACAGTTTGAACCTTTTGAGTATGTGGAACATAATGGTGTATAGAAAGTGTGTAAATCAGGGCTGGGATGTAGCTCAGTGGCAAAGCGCTTACCTAGCAAGTGCAATGTCCTGGGTTCTATCCCCAGTACCAAAAAAGAAAAGTCGAAAAAAATGCAGTTAAAAAAAAAAAGTGTGTAAATCAGCAATAATGGACTGGAAAGTTAAACTAGAAGGAAGTTGGATTAGAAAGACATCCTAATTACTTGAGATCTTATCTTTAAAGAATAGCATTTTCTTGTCAGGTGTGATGTTTCATGCCTGTAAATCTCAGCTCTCAGGAGGCTTGAGGAAGTAGTACAAATCAAGGCCCCAACCAGGCTACCTAGTGAGTGCGATTCAAACCTGGGCTATATAGTTGTCTTGTCTCAAAATGAAAGCAGATTGTTTAAAGACAGTATTTTTTTGCAATTGATGATAGTGTATATGTTTTTTAGAAAGCTAGAAAAATAACTGTATAAACTGTATATGACTTGAATATAAATGATTGCTTTTGGTTAAAAATACACGTTCATATTAAAATTTCTTTCTTTTCTACTTAGTAATGCAATATGGGAAAGGCAAGTCCTGTTATTATAGGTTTCTGACCAAAGGGCAACAGTGGATTTGGCTTCAAACTCATTATTATATCACTTACCACCAGTGGAATTCAAGACCAGAATTTATTGTTTGTACTCACACCGTAGTAAGGTAATAATTCTTGTAGAAAATTTCTGAATCTCAGTAACAACTAATAATGTAATTTTTATGCATGACTTGTTAATTGACAAAGCGATCTCTTTTCAATTTGATATATATTCATTAAATAATTCCTTAAATTTACTTACAGGCATTGTATAGAGACGTATAGATAGTAAGTGGTATATAATGCTCTACATGAGTTTTATTTTTATGTTTTATAACAAATTATATTGTCATTTATATAACAAAGTCAGCCTTGCAAAGGGAACTGGAGTAGATAAACATAGTACTTCTTTTTTATGTACTTTATAGTTTTAAACATTTATACAAAAATGCAAATGACAATGCAAAGTGAATTAAACCAGTACACACTATATATGTGTATGTGTTTATATATATATATATATGTATCATATATATATATATATGTATATATATATATATAATAGCTTTGTGTAGCACATAGAAAATAAGTCCAGAATTAGTGATGAACACGTGAGACCCACAACAAACACTGAATGGTTGCATTTCTGCAGCTTTTTTTTTTTAATTTCATTTTTCTGTCAGTTGTGGAGCTTGAATTCAGGGCCTGGCCAGTCACTAAAGTCTGATTCTTTCCATTTGTAGTTATGCAGAAGTTAGGGCTGAAAGACGACGAGAGCTTGGCATTGAAGAGTCTCTTCCTGAGACAGCTGCTGACAAAGTATGTTTAAAAATGTATTCAATTCTTAACTTTCTTCCTAATGAAGAACAAACTCATGGGAAAGTTATATTTCAAATAGTTCACTTCCTCAGTTGTGATGGGAGATAATTAAACTTTGCTATTTGCTTTCATTTTTAATATTTTAAAATCTCATTTGCTTCTAAAAGAATTGAAGTTCCTGCCATTTAGCAGTAATTAGGGGAGAGACATAGTGGATCTCATATTAAAACTGTCATTATTAAAAAAACTGTCATTATTAATTGACCAAGAAGTATTAGTCCCTGGTTAGATACTTTATATGATTTATGAAAGGTGATTTATTCTGTATGTATATTTTCATAGTCAGTATTACTTTGTATCTTTTCTCCTCTTTATTCAGTTTAAATTTATGGTAAATGATTGTAACAAGGCATATATTTTCTTTTTTTTTCTTTTTTTTTTTTTTGTTGGTCATGGGGCTTGAACTCTAGGCCTAGCCACTGTCCCTGAGCTCTTCAGTTCAAGGCTAACACTCTACCACTTGAGCCACAATGCCACTTCTGGCTTTTTCTATTTATGTGGTACTGAGGAATCAAACCCAGGGCCTCATGCATGCAAGGCAAGTAATCTACCACTGAGCCACCAGTCCATAAGGCATATATTTTCAACTCCTGAGAACCTATCACCCTGTCACATTTCTTGGCATTAACTTAGTGCTGGTTATACTCAGCTGGCAGTTAGGCAGATATGGGAGAGGGAGCTTGCAGCAGTATTCTCAGTGAAATAGCAGCCATTATTGGGAGAGAAGTTTTTAGAGGATTGAGAAAACAGACAAAAGTATTAAATGGTTGTATAAGAGAATATTTATAAAACAGCAAGACTATAACTAAGGTTATACATGTGTCATCCTGTGTACACTATACAAAATCAAAATAATAGAAACTATTGTACTCTTCTGTTCCTGTCATATTACACTGGTAATAAAAATAAATTTATTGATTGAAAAGTAAATGTTCTGAGCAATCAGACAGATTTAAGTGCCCACTTGAGTGTTCTTGGTCATTAATTTGAAGGAGGAACAGTCACCATGTTGTATTTCTTCAGCCCTACTTTACTGTGCAGTACAGGTAAAAAAATTGGTTTAACTAGCATGAAGGACATATGGGAAGTGGAAGTTCAGAAAATAGGATGTTTAACATCAATAGTACGGAGGGTTTTTTCCTTGTTAGTAGCAACTCTTAGATATAGCTATGAATTAGTGACTGAGAACTAGTAGAGTCAAATCTTGAAGGGGGAAAAAACACCAACGAAGAGAGAGTTCATAGTATTGAATAAGAGTTAATATGGAAAATACTGAGCCAGGATCTAAAATTTAGTTCAGGTACTTTCTCTGAAGTGACTACAAGTTCAGTATGTGACTGCAACAAGGGAAGTGCTCCATAGTGTGGTCATTTGAGTTTCAGGACTGAGTTTAGGGAAGGAACACAGGGAATCACTAGTAGGACTGCTCTTCTATCTATAGAACTGTGGTTGAAACTTCGTGGTTTGAGAGAAAACCGTGATCACTGAAAAGACCTACAAGGAAAGTAAAATCCTCCAGTGAAATCTGCACTTTTGTTAGAGCAGGCCGGTAAAGGAATATTCAAAGCTGAGGTGGAAAGATGGAGTAGTTTGTTATATTTATGGATACTGAAGGCAGATAAGAACAGTGGGAAGTAAAGGCAAATTAGAAAAGATAAAGAACAGAGGGTAATTAGGCTGGAGAAGACCACTCAATATGACATTAACAATCCTTTTTTTCCCTTGTAGCTTGAGTATATCTGAAATCATCTTGTTTGTGTGTATGTGTGTATATATTGTTCCTTTTTATGTAGCATCTCTGAAGTAAGAATAGGTTATTTGTTTCTTGTTCAATGCTACACACAGAGAGCCTTTAATGGAATACATGACTCTTCTTGAAGAAGAAAAAGTAGATATACTATTAAACATGCAATATTAGCAGATAAGGTTAGATCTTTTGAAAATAAGTGAGGCCCGAACTTCTACATAAGGCCAGGCAGTCACTTGAGAGAGGGAAACAGGTTTAAGAACAGTGCAAAGGCATTGACTACTTGTGAAGAATAGAAAAGTGAGTCTTCCACAAACACTTAACAATATTGCTGCCTAGAATTGAATGTCCATTTGAATTTGGTCATCACTTTTAAGTTGCAGTTACTTCTGCAGGGATCCTTGAGGTCAAAGAGGTAGAAAATAGAGAAGTATGATTATAGTGGCTTTTGAGTTGGTACTCATAGAGGTGTTGCAGTATTTGTTGATGACAAAGCAGAGGTTGAGTGACTCAGGTAAAGTTAAGGAAAACATAATTGATAATGAATTCTTAGGAGGCTGACATACTAGGATAGGATATTGGATGTTTTATCCACTTACTGAAATTCTAGAGAAAGGTCGGAATTGGAGTATAGAATTTCAGCCATAAAATGTTAAGCTCCAAAGATGCATAAGGTATTTTGTATATAAACTAAAGTGCCATCAGTATTTTGTTTTCCTTTTTTTTTTTGCCAGTCCTGTGGCTTGAGCTCAGGGCCTGAGCCATGTCCCTGAGCTTCTTTTTGCTCAAGGTGAGCACTCTACCACTTGAGCTACAGTGCCACTTCCAGCTTTTTCTTTTTATGTGTACTGAAGAATTGAACCCAGGACTTGATGCATGCTAGGTGAGCACTCTACCACTGAGCCACATTCCCAGCCTTCCTTTTTTCTTTAATATGAAGAGTACTATTTTACCAATTCTAAGGGTATACTTCAGAATCACTAAGTACATTTTCCCTGTGTACAGCTATTACCACCATCTATGCCCAGAACATTTTCATATTTCCAAACAACTTCCTACTCCATTCAACAACTCCACATTTCCCTTTCCCCTCACCTCTTGGCAACTACCATTTTACTTTTATTTCTTTATCTATTTATTTATTTTGAAAATACTGTACATAGGGGTTACAATTACATGGGCAAGATAATGAGTACATTTCTTATCAAGCATTGTTGCCTCCTCCTTTGCTTCCCCTTCCTATCCCTTCCCATCTCCTACCCACCCTCCCCCACCCCCATTTTTTTAATTAGAAAAATTCAGTGTCTTTTTATGACTGGCTTATTTCTGTTGGTATGATTTTTACCATGCCAATGTAGCATATATCAGGATTCCCTTGTATTTTAAGGTCCCTGTAGTGTTTTAATATTTCTTCTGTGTGTGTGCATGTGCACTGTTTTGCCTGTTTATTCATCAGTCAGTGGATATTTAGATTTACCTTTCTGTTTTTTTGCGTAATGCCTCTATACATATGGATATAGAAATGTCTGTCTGAGTCCCTACTTTCTTTTGAGTTTATACTAAGAAATAGAATCCTGATTATATGCAAGTTCTGTATTTGGGGAGGAACTGCCATACTGTCTTCCACAGGGCTATACCATTTTGACATTTCCATCATCAAGCAACAAGAGGTCTAATATCTATACTTACCAATACTGGTTATTTTCTCATTCTAATAAACATGATATAATATCTTATTGTGGTTTTAATTTGCATTTCTCTGGATAGTGAGGTTAGGTTCCTTCTCAAGTGCTTACTGGCTATTTATATGTCTTCTTTAAGACTTTTACTGTTTTAGCGCTTAATAGTTAGGTCTTTGATCCATTTTATTTCACTGTATATGATGTAAGATAGCCCCTCTTTTCCATAAATGAGCCCAAAATTTTTATTTTTTGCACTATAAAAAATAACTTCCATTCCTTTATCTAATATCTTCATGCTCACTTTGCTATAGGTAAAATTTAAATTTTTATTTCACTGAGAACAGGCTTGCTAATTTGAGATCTGTGAACTGAACCACAAAGAAAACCATTATTTTTCTCTGTCCTTTTAGAGCCAAGATTCTGGGTCTGATAATCGCATAAACACAGTTAGTCTCAAGGAAGCACTGGAAAGGTTTGATCACAGCCCAACCCCTTCTGCCTCCTCCCGGAGTTCAAGAAAATCATCTCATACAGCAGTATCAGACCCTTCCTGTGAGTATTGTAGCTTGAAAGTAGACTTCATTAATGAGGGTGCATCTAAATTGCTTGTGTTACAAATATCAGCATTTTTTAAATCAAATACTTCTTCACAGGTTTTTACATTTGAAGCACATATTAATCTTTCCAATGAGTAAAAGACAAATTGCTATAGCAAAGAATTATGATAAAATATGTAGGCAGTAATGTCATTTGTTAACATTTTCATCATCACTCAAAAAAAAAAAGCAGGACAATTTACTCTTCTTTTTTACTATAAAGCCGGTAAGTATTATTCTTTGAAAGTTGTTTTTACTATCTTTAGAAAGACTTGCATAATTATCTTTAAATTACAAGTGTTCCTTCATCGCTGTAGTTTTATATCTATGAATTCCATCAATAGTTGATAGAAAATGTTCCAAAGGAAAAAGGTCACATCTATACTGACCAAATACAAACTGTTTTCTTGTCACTATTTCCTAAACATAATAGTTAAGCAACTATTTATGTACTGTTTATACTATATTAAGTAGCATAAAAAGTCTAGATATAGCTTATTAATGGCAAGATGTGCATAGGATGTATGCAAACAGTGCACCATTTGGGTTTTTTTTCTGGTTGGTCATGGGGCTTGAACTCTGGGCCTGGGCTCTGTCCCTCAGCTCTTCAACTCAAGGCTAGTGCTCTACCACAGCACCACTTCCAGTTTTCTCAATGGTTTATTGGAGATAAGAGTCTCACGGACTTTCCTGCCCAGGCTGGCTTTGATCCGTGATCCTCAGATCTCAGCCTCCTGAGTAGCTAGAATTACAGGCCTGGCTACTGCACGATTTTATATAAGAGACTTCAGCATCCATGGATTTTTGGTGACTATAAGTAGTACTAGAAAAAGTCTTTTGTGGATATTGAGGGAATGACTATAGTAACTATTTTCATATTCAAAGTTTCCTGTTTCAAGTATTTTCTTTGTCCTTAAGAGAAATATTTAACCAGGTATCAGCAGCTAACATCAGTAATATTAGTGACTCAGAAGGCTACAACTTGAAGGTTCAAAGTGTAAAAGCTAGCCAAATAAAGTCTACAAGACTTCATCTCCAATTAATCAGCCAAAGGCCATGCTGGAGGCTTGCCTCAAGTGATAGAACACCACCAGCCAGGAACAAAAATCCTGAGCAAGTACAAGGACCTAAATTGAAGCCTCCAAATGAGCAAAAAATAAATGTTAAAATGAGTCTTATAGTCATAGGCTTCATTTTATTGAATGATTTGAACACTAACAAAAAATTTTGGAAACTAACTCAAAAAATGTTTTATTCACTGAAGTATATTGTAAGATTACTATTTGATAATTGTATTTGTAAGTACTAATGCTGTTACGGTTTGTTAACTAACTTTAGCAACACCAACAAAGATCCCAACAGATACTAGCACTCCTCCCAGACAGCATTTACCAGCTCATGAAAAGATGGCCCAACGAAGATCATCATTTAGTAGTCAGGTAAGCTCTTTAATTTGGAATAAAAATTATTAAAAAGGGAAAATTTTCCTAAATTTTCAGAAATTTATTGATATATTTTCCCCTTTCTGTTTTCTGTGATCTTTCTGAATTTTGCTCTCATACGTGTAAGTCATTAAAATTGTATCAGCCTTTTTCAGTTCTGAAAAGCTGATCACTGAGAGCCATCATATAGCTTATCTTCAGATGCCAGTTAATCCACTCAATACCAGTTCAGTCCAGCCAACTTCTATTGAACACATATGTAGGGTATCTGCTAAGTGCTTAGAAGAAACAAGGTAGTAGAGGAGCTGAGATGCAGCCCATGGTAGAGTATTTGCCTAGCATTCACTAGTTCCTGGGTTTCATTGTCAGTACCGCAAAATAAATAGACAGACAGACAGACAGACAAATTGATAAATAGCTTACTTTTCTAGTGTGTAAAGGGAGTCATACTTGGATACAACTAACCAAAATGTAAATCAAATTAAATTCAGTGGTAAATATACCATGATATTTCTGGTTAAACTATTTATATATAGGAATGAGTATCATCTAACTATTATGATTTATTTTACTTCTAGTCCATAAACTCTCAGTCTGTTGGTCCATCAATAACACAGCCAGTGATGTCTCAACCTGCAAATTTACCAATTCCACAAGGCATGTCCCAGGTATTTTGGTTTTAGATGAGCATTTACAAGTGATAAATTGCTTTTAAGCTAATATGAATGTGTATGTTTATAGATGCAGTTTATTTTATAAATGCAGGTATATTTTCATTTGTTATAATGATTATGGGGTACCATTAGCCCTTAGTGGTGAGTCTATAGGTACTGGTCTTTCAGTAGTCATGATAATCTTGAACATTTTCCATTATCCTCCTTATTAATATGCCATAAATTCTCTTCTCTTACTGAAAAGCACATAGTTATAAAGATACTAAAGATGTAACTATTTATTTTGTTCTTCCAGTGGTAATTGGAAGAAGGGAGTAACTTTGTTTACATATTAATTATATATTAATCACATATTATTGAGTTCCTTATATATAACGTATATCTCAGGAACTGATAGTATTTATAATTTCTATACTGAAAGGCTGTTACATTAAGAGGGAACAACAAATAACTAGAATACCATGTCATATAGCCTATGTACATCATACAACCTATTGTAGCCTATGGAAGTTGAGGAAAAGTTTCTACAAGTTTACCTGGCATGAGTCTCACAGAAAGCCTAAATACAAAAGTTAACAACATTGCCTAACAGCAATTGATTGTTAACAACATTGTTGTGTTTCTCTTGATCATAACTTCTTGAGATGAATAAATCATTCAGTGTCTCAGACACATTAAAAATACTACTGAGTAGTACAAAATGTAAACTTTTTTGCCTGTTTTGTTTAACATTAAATCCTGACTTCTAGCAAAATACTGGGCCTGGATGCTGTCCCTCAGCTCTTTCACTTAAGGCGAGCGCTCTGCCACTTGAGCCACAGCACCACTTCCAGTTTTCTGGTGGTTAATTAGAGATAAGAGTCTCCTGGACTTTCCTGCCTGGGTTGACTTTGAACCTGAGATCCTCAGATCTCAGCCTCCTGCATAGCTAGGATTACAGCTAGGATTACAGCCACCAGCACCCAGCTAGTTTGGATAACTTGTAGTCAGCATTAAGCCCTTAAATCTTATTTATTCTAAAGAGTTGATAAAAGTTTATGTAAATATCTAGAAATACTTTCCTCATAACTTGCTCTTTAATTTCAGGTACTGATTAAGCATTTCTTAACATTTTAAATAATATATATTATGTCATTTATAGTGAAAAAGCTAAACACTTCTTTGTTCTGTGATTTTATTTTCTCTTGTCCTATGTTCTGTTTGTTTTTGCTTTCCTTTTTTTTTTTTTTTTTTGGCGGGGGGGGGGGGGGGGGGTCCGTTCGTGGGGCCTGAACTCTGGGCCTGGGCGCTGTCCCTCAGCTCTTCAGCTCAAGGCTAGCACTCTACCACTTGAGCCACAGCGCCACTTCCGGCTTTTTTCTTTTTGCTTATGTGGTGCTGAGGAATCGAACCCAGGGCCTCAGGCATGCAAGGCAAGCGCTCTACCACTGAGCCAACTTCCCAGCCCTCTGCTTTCCTTTTTTGCATTAGTAGAAATTCTTTTTTTTTTTTTTTCTATCATGGAGCTTGAACTCAGGCCCTTGGTGCTGTTGTTGAGTTTTTTCTATACCACTTTAAGCCACAGTGCCACTTCCAGTTTCCGGTGGTTAATTGGAGATTAGAGTCTCATGAACTTTTCTGACTGGGCTGGCAGATTTCATCCAGATTTCGTCCTCCTGAGTAGCTAGGATTATAGGCGTGAGCCACCAGCATCTGGCTTAGAAATTCTTTAAAATGATGATAACAAATGTTTATCTGTAGTTACAAATAACTTTATAATAAATTATATTTGCATGACATATTTTGACTAATATTCTAGAAACAACATGGGAATATTGAGGTACTAGATTTGTAATTCTTCTCATATGATATGGTCTGGTTTTTGTCAACTTCAAAAGTGAAAACTATTTTTGAAAAAATAGTATTTTATTTCTGTGGTACAAAGAAAAAAGAACTATTATGCATATTAACTTTTTTATTATGCATATACACTTTTTTTGGAGATACTTTTGAAAAGATGTAGAAGCATTTCTCACTTTAAGGTGCAGTTCACTGGACTGTCTTAAGGTAGCTTTCCAATAACATAGAACTCTTCCAGCTCTTAGACTATTATATGTACTGAATATTCATGAAAATAATTAAATGAACCCGTATAAACTTAACAGAGGGGTCATCAAGTGTATCTAAATTATAAGCATGCTACTTATACTCAGGTATAAAACAGAGAAGTAAGGTTAAAAACTCTGAGAGTTGAATAACTCCATTATTATATGCATTCCATTCATTCACAATTGCTTAGTCTTTAAAAACATGTTTTAAATGTGTCTAAGGACATTATCAATTGAAAATATAAGTGACAGCAATAGTTATTTGTCAGATTTGGATAATTTTGGGTAATTCTGGAAGAGTATACTTTAGTATATTCTGGAGAGTATACTAAAGATGACAGTTTGATAAGAATTAACTGAAGGCACAGGCTGGGTAGAGTAGAAATGATGGTTGGAAATAAAGTAACTTAGCCGGCCACCTCGTGCAATTTTAACTACTCAGGAGGCTGAGATCTCGAGGATTAAAACTTGAAACCAGATTGGATAGAAAAGTACAGGAGAATCTTCCAATTAACCAGCAGAAAGCTAAGATGGAGGCATAGCTCAAGTAGTAGAGCTCCAGCTGAGCCAGGCCCTGAGTTCAAACCTCAGTAGTACCCACCAATAAATAGAAATTAAGTAACTTGTTTTACTAAATGGTCAGCCACAGTTTAACTTTTCTAACTGTAGGATGTGCTTATAATCTGTCAAGATGTAGTCAGAAATCAAAAGTGTACGAGAAATTTGTATAGGGATAAAATTAAAAGTTGCTAACCACTATGTAAAAGAAACTAAAGACTATAAGAATAGAAGAGCTGGGTACTAGTGGCCCATACCTGTAATCCTAGCTATTCAGGAGGCTAAGATATGAGTGTTGTGGTTCCAAAAGCCCAGGCAGAAAAGTCCATGAGACTCTTTATGTCCAATAAACCACTCAGAAAAAGCTGAAAGTGGTACTGTGGCTCAAGTGGTAGAGTGCTAGCTTTGAGCTCAAAGAGGCTCAGGGACAGTGCCTAAGCCCCTGAGTTCATGTCCCAGGACCAGCAAAAAAAAAAAAAGAAATGAGAAGAGCACTCAAAGAAGGGACAAGTTTGGAAGATTCTCTCTCATGTTTCTGAATCTCCTATCTCTTGCCACCTGGGATTCATATGTCATTGTGCACAGGTAATGGCTAGCACCATTGGAAAATGGACATCACTAAAGTGCTACAGAGGATGACTGGAGGGAAGGAAGCTACCTGCTAGGGACCTGGCAGACTTTCCTGGGAAAGGATATCACTGAGACTTGCTGAAAAGCTGCCTGCTAAGTATTTAGGAACCTCACTGGAATGCCACTCACTGGCACCTATGACATAGGAAAGGACCAGAATCAGTAAGATAGGTGTCTTCTGTAGCATGTTTCCAGTACATCTGCTGACAGGTCTGACTATGCGTGGCAAAGGGAAAAATACTTTTAAAGTTCAGCTTCACTGTCACAGAGCAGAGAAAGATGGGCAGATTAGGAGCAGAGATGCTATATATTAATAAGATGCATGATATTCTTAACTCATTATGCTCACTTTTCACATTATACATTTATGATGAGCAATTGATTCTAAAATATGGTATGCTTTTTCCACATGTGGTACTTCAGTTTCAGTTTTCAGCTCAATTAGGAGCCATGCAACACCTGAAGGACCAGTTGGAGCAACGAACCAGGATGATTGAGGCAAATATTCATCGGCAGCAAGAAGAACTAAGGAAAATTCAAGAGCAACTTCAAATGGTCCATGGCCAAGGGCTGCAGGTAAATTGTTACTTATGAACACAAAGCATCCTGTTCATATGAACACAAAGCATCCTGTTCATATTTTGCATTCCTACGAAAAGCACTTTTCTTAGTGAAAAGTGAGGTGCCAGAAATACATTCTACTAGTACTGTTCAGTCACTACCCATTGGTTACCCACTCAGTATGATACTGTATACTCAAAGTCTCCAGAGATGCTTGTTCCTAAGATAGCAGCCTCCTTATTTTTCCATGTTTTCCAAATTTTAGGTTGTTCAAATTCATCATATTGAAAGTTATTTTATAGTAGCCTTGAATCTAGACAGTAAAGAATTTATAAGTAAAAGTTAATAAAATGTTCATGTTCATCTTACTTTACCAACTAGGAACTAGGAGACTAGGATTTGGTAAAGGGAAACACTAAGTGGAAACTACTTCTAAATAATATAATGTCTGAAATTACAAATACAGATGATACAAAGCTGCCAGTCCATAGCCCTTTGAGTGTGTTAGATATATTCTAACAATTAAAAGCATGATAAGATTAGGATGAGTGGAAGTTTTATGTTTTATTCAGTAATTATTTATTGCTCAAAATGACTAATATATGTCTATTTAGGGGTACAAATGTAGCCTAGCATACTTGAGGGGTTCATCCCTAGTGTTAAACAAAAAAGAATGAAAAGAACCCAAAAACCTCATTTAAATGTAATCTTTATTTTTAAAGATGTTTTTGCAACAATCAAACCCTGGATTAAATTTTGGTTCTGTTCAACTTTCTTCTGGAAATTCATCTAATGTCCAGCCACTTGCACCTATAAATATGCAAAGCCAGGTTGTTCCTACTAACCAGATTCAAAGTGGAATGAATGCTGGACATATTGGCACAAGTCAGCATATGATTCAACAGCCTTTACAAAGTACATCAACTCAGGTAATGTGATCAAGTACAATGAGCTATTAACATAGCTCTGTTGTGTATCATCTCTTGAAGTCTGATCATTAGAACATGAAATATTGAGTAATCATTAAAATATTAGTTGAAATTTTTTTACCATTAGTGTGAACTATTTTACATTTAAAAATTGTATAATCTGTTTAAGTCTAATAGTGATACCAGGTTCTGGTAACTCAGATTACTTGTATGTGTTAAAAAGCTTTGATTAGCATCCAGTGCCAATGGTTCATGCCTGTAATCCTAGCTACTCAGGAGGCTGAGATCTGAGCATCGAGGTTCAAAGCCAGCCTGGGCAGGAAACAGTGAGATTCTTATCTCCAGTTAAGTACCAAATAAACTGGATGTACTGCTATGGCTCAAGTGATAGAGCACAGGCCTTGAGCACAAAAGCTCAGTGACAGCACCCAGGCCCTGAGTTCAAGTCCCAGGACCATCATACATACAAACAAAAGCTTTGATTTGTAAAGGAGTCTAGCCAGGTATCATGTTACTATACGTAGAATACACTGTGAGTAGAACAGTGACAGTTTAATCAACGTCCCACAAAATCCTGGTGATTAGGATATATTTGTGACTCTATATGGAAAATACAAAAATAAACTAATCATTAGTCAATCACTTTGTGTATTTAACAGAAATTCTGTCTGTATATTTTCTACCATCCCTATTAAAATCATGTTTCTTTTAAAGTCCTAGCTTGCCTTCCTTCTGGCTGGGAATTCAAGCCTAACCATTTCCATTTACTACAAGTCGTTCCTTTGTGATTAGACTTTCTCAGAGTAATTTATCCTGTTTCCCTTTTAATATCAGCTATTGTTAAAATAGTAAATGGCAGATGCATTGTCTCCAAATAACCTTGTTCAGTTAATCTCTCTGTAAAATCTCTTTTATAGCAGAGTCAACAAAACGTACTGAGTGGTCACAGTCAGCCAACATCTCTTCCAAGTCAGACACAGAGTACTCTTACAGCTCCTCTATATAATACTATGGTGATTTCTCAGCCTGCCGCTGGAAGCATGGTCCAGATTCCATCCAGTATGTCACAGAACAGTACCCAGAGTGCCACAGTAACTACATTCACTCAGGACAGACAGATAAGGTACTTGTCTTACTTCTTTTGTCATATTCAAAGTTATGTTAATTAAAATAGTAATATGACAGCTGGGAATTTGTCCTGTAATCTCACTGCTCAGGTAGCTGAGATCTGAGGATTGTGGTTGGAAGCAGCCCAGGCAGAAAAGTTTGAGACTGTTATCTCCAATGAACTTCCAAAAAGTCAGAAGTGGAGCTGTGGTTTAAGTGATAGAGCACTAGTCTTGAGCAAAAAAGCTCAGAGACGTGCCCAGACTCTTTGAGTTAAAGCCCCAGGATGTGCACACATGTACAGACACAAACACATGCACACATGCATATACACACACAAAACAGTAATATGAAAAATTTAGGAGTGGCTGGTAGAATGCTATTCTTGAGCAAAAGAGCCAGGCAAAAGTGCAAAGCCCTGGGGGGGGGGGGGGGGGGGGGGAGGCTGGGAAGGGATGTGAAGGGTAAACAAAGGAGGAGGCTGCAATACTTGGTAAGAAATGTACGCATTATCCTGCCCATGTAATTGTAACCCCTCTGTACAGTATGTTCACAAATAAAATAAAATATAAAAAAAAAAAAAGTGCAAAGCCCTGAGTTCAAGCCCTAGTATGGAGGAGGGTGTATGGAGGAGGGTGCATGTGTGCACATACACATACACACAACCATAAGGCTAGCGATATAGTTCAGTGTTAGAATGCTTGCTTAACATGCTCACCACCCTCAGTACAGTTCCTAACACTGCATTAAGAAACAAAACATCGGGGCTGGGAAGGTGGCTCAGTGGTAGAGTGCTTGACTTGCATGCATGAGGCCCTGGGTTCAATTCCTCAGCACCACATAAGCAGAAAAAGCCGGAAGTAGGGCTGACACTCAAGTGGTAGGGCGTTAGCCTTGAGCTGAAGAGCTGAGGGACAGCGCCCAGGCCCAGAGTTCAGGCCCCACAACTGGACCCCCCCCCCCCAAAAAAAAAAAGAAACAAAACATGATTTTTTTAAAAAAAAACTGATTTTTATAATTTTATTATTTTGTGGTTTGTAGCAGCCATTATTGCTTGCAATAAAAACATACCTGTTTCAAGACATGAAAATTAGAGTAATAAAATAAATTTTTATTTTTAGGCTGCAAGCAAATAAGAACATTCTGTAGTGTTCGTAGTATGATGTGCAAGGCTGTTTCACTGTGCAGCCCCCTCTTGTTAGTGCAGATGGTTGAGAGTATTCATGGTGGTACAGCTTAACTTGCTTGAATTTGTTAAGTTTTCAAAATATATGATTTTTTTCTTTTTCCCTCTTTTTTGGGAGAGGAGGGGTGGTACTGGGGCTTAAACTCAAGGCCTTAAGCTCTCACTTAGCTTTTCTACTCGACTGTCATTCCATCACTTCAGTCACACCTCTACTTCCTCAAAATACATGGATTCATTCTTATTTTTTCTGAAATATTTACAAGTATCTTTGTTCTTTCCCTATGTCTCATACAAGAAAAACACAGGATTTTGGTAATTTCTCATGGGTCTAAATGGTTAAATCAGTGAAGCAGCCACTCTAACTCAAGACCTAGATGTCTGATTTCAAAGTTTACATAGTCACGCATGCTACTCTGAATTCTGTACACTAATGAGAATTCCAAATAGCTGACTTAAATATAAAACTTTTGAAGAAATGCCATCGATGCTGAAAAGCTGCCTTCTAACAACTATAGGATCTCCATATTATGAAATCTCCAATTTTAAATGTTTATAATTTTTACCTTACTTTACGCCCACTATATACTTCTTTTAAGTTTTATTTGTTTTTTATGTAAGTAGTTGTACAAAGAGGTTTCAATCCAACAGGTCAGTTTATGAGTATAATGCATCTTGACCAAACCAACATTACTCTTGCCCATTGTACCCAACCCCATCCAGAACCTCATTACATTGTTTTACTGGCTTTTGTATTGAATGGTATATTTTACTATGTTAATAATTTTCAGAGTATAGAAGCTACAGGATTACATAGGAATTAAAAGCACAAGAAGCTTTTCTTTGTAACTCAGTTAACTTACAAAGTCTGTCTTATGAATGTTCATAATGAAATCTTACAAATGTTATCTATTAAAACTCAGAGAGCTGATTTTTTTGTTTGTTTTTGCTGCTGGGATTTGAACCCAGAACCTGGGTCCATACACATGAACCAGTATGTCCTGTGTACATACTCTACCATTGATCTACACTCCCAGGCAAAAGACTTACTTTATAGTTTGGGGGGAAAGCCATTAAACTGGATTACTGACATGCATTTTGGAAGATGCAATTTAGGGACTATTTGTAAATGGAATTCTGAGAGGACAAATCCTATTTCAGCAAATGTTTGAAGCTTATATATTGATGCTTTTGTAAGTTAGGTCTTTCCCCTGGGAAAAGACTTGTAAAATCAATAGAAAGGTAAATCAGAATTATTGTAGGCTTACAGAAAAGCAGAAGTGAGTATTTTTGTGGATTGAGGCAAACAGGTTGGTCAGGGATAGTTTGGATTAGGAGGTGACCATTGGCCTGAGTCTTATAGTGAGGGGTGGTTTTGGATTTGCATGTGGTGAGGCCTCTAAAGGGGCATTCTCAGCCAAAGAGACCTGTACATGCACAGCCACAGAAGTGTGAGCTGGGCAATGGAGATGATTAGAGAATATGTTTTTCTGTCAGAAATGAATAAAGTATTCTCTGGATAAAGCACGTATCAATGAGTCAATAGGCAATTCAAATATTAATTTTAGGATTACAAAGGAAATAGCATTTAGCACTTATATAACTAAGTACACTCTAAATGCTACTTTTTTTGAGCCTTAAGAGTTTTTTTATTTTGTACTCAAGCATTTGGTCCTAAAGTATATAAAATACAGTATTTTATTTTCAAATGTGACATGAATTCAGAATAAATTAAGGGTATAAAGCTATGACTCAATGTAGAATGCTTGCCTAGCATTCTCCATTCTCTATTCTCCATTGCCTAGCCCAGAGTGGGGATAATCCCCATCACTGCAAAAATGAATCCGTGTAAGTTTATTTTGTCTTATGGAATATATACAATATACAATACATGTACAGAGTTTCTTTTCTTTTCTTTTTTTTTTTTTTTTTTGGTGGTCGTGGAGCTTGAACTCTGGGCTTAGGCGCTGTCCCTCAGCTATTCAGCTCAAGGTGAGCGCTCTATGGCTTGAGCCACATGCCACTTCCGGTTTTCTAGTGGTTTATTGGAGATGAGTCTCATGGATGTTCCTGTCTGGGCTGGCTTTGAACCGTGATCCTCAGATCTCAGCCTCCTGAGTAGCTAGAATTACAGGCGTGAGCCACTGGCGCCCGGCTCAGAGTTTCTTTTTTTGTGTGTGTGATTTGGTGGTACTGGGGTGTGGTACTGAACTTCACACTTGGTATAGGCAAGTATACAACCACTTGAACCACTACTGCATCCTTACATTAATACTGTTATGTTGTTTTACAGATTTTAATACAGTCTTCATCTTGCTACATGATAGGGTCAGATCTGTTTCCTTGCTGTGATGGCCAGTGTTAGAAATGAACATCACCCCATAAAAAAGGCAATTGGAAAGAGATAAGGAAGGGAGGAAATTAGCAAATAATAGTAAACACTATGCTGCATTGATAAACTTGTAAATTAAAATTTTTTGTTTTGTTTTTGCCAGTACTGAGGCTTAGACTCAGGCCACTGCCCCTTAGCTTTTTCACTTAATGCTGGTGCTCTACCACTTGCCACACAGTGCCACTTCCAGCTTTTTAGAGGTTAATTAAAGATAAGTCTCTCAGACTTTCCTCCCTGGGCTGATTTCAAATTGTAATCTTCATCTCAGCCTTCTAAACAAGTAGCTAGAATTACAGACATGAGCCACTGGTCCCAGCAAAGAATATTTGTATCCACTATTAGAATATCACTTTTTATTTATGTTTGTAATACACATTTGATGGATTTTTTTCTATAAATGTAGTTCTTTTGAATTATCTTATGGTAGCCTTAAGGTTTTCTGTGAATTGTGTGCCACATATATCTGACTCCCAAGCACTTAGTCATTTTATGAAAAGAAAAAAGTTTATAGTTTTGACATGATTAAAATTCTCTGTTATGCTGGGTGCTAGTAGCTCACACCTGTAATCCTAGCAAATCTGAAGATCCTGGCTCAAAGCTAGCCCAGGCAGGAAAGTCTATGAGATGCTTACCTCCCAATTAACCACCAGAAAAACAGAAGTGGTGCTGTGGCTCAAGGTAATAGGGTGCTATCCTTGAGCAGAAATCTCAGGGACAGTGCCTAGGCCCTGAGTTCAAGCCGTATGACTGACAAAAGTTCTCTGTGATACATATAACATAAAATTAGATACATTGACCATTGTCAAGTGTACTGTTGGCTGCCTGCCCATTCTGCCTGTCAGTGGAAACTCTGGATGCTTCCATGCCCTCACCTGAAAATAAGTGCTGCTATGAATGTAAGCATGCAAGTATCTGTCTCTGCTTTTCTTTCTTTCGGATTATACACTCAGAAGTTGAATAATTTCCTGTGGTTGGTAATCTTGTTAAAGATTTTGAGGAACTGCCATATAGTTTTTCATGGTGGCTGTATTTTACATCCCCATCAACAGTTCACAAATGTTCTCACTTCTCTGTCAACACTGATGATTGTTTGTTGATGTCTATGGTAGAAAGCCTGATGGGTATATAAAGTGGCTTTTCATTGTGGCTTGATTAGCATTTCCCTAATGACTAGTTATACTGAGTACCTTTGTGTGCATTTATTCGCCATTTCTCTGTCTTTTTGGAGAAATACATATTTATGTTTGACCTTATTTTTTTTTGGGGGGGGCGTCCGGTTGTGGGGACTGAACTCTGGGCCGGGGCACTGTCCCTCAGCTCTTCAGCTCAAGGCTAGCGCTCTACCACTTGAGCTGTGGCGCCACTTCCGGCTTTTTTCTTTTTGCTTATGTGGTGCTGAGGAATCGAACCCAGGGCCTCAGGCATGCAAGGCAAGCGCTCTACCACTGAGTCACCTTCCCAGCCCTGACCTTATTTTTTTAAGTGAGTTGTTCAGTTTTAAGAAATCTAGTTATTATGATAACCAAATATATCACATATGTAACTCTTGTTTAATGAGTTTCATTTTCAGTATACATGTTTTATTTAATGTAGTCCAGTTAACTTTTTTTTTCTTTTTATCACCTTTAGTTTTGATGGTGTCAGTGAAATCATTTCTGAAGTCTGGTGTCATGAAGCTTTATTGTTTCTTACAGGGTTTTGGGTGGCATTTTATTTTTATTTTATTTTTTTTGGGGGGGGGGATCGTGCCTGGGCGCTGTCCCTCAGCTCTTCATCTCAATGAGAGCGCTCTACCACTTGAGCCACAGCACCACTTCCAGTTTTCTGAGTGGTTTATTGGAGATAAGAGTCTCACAGATTTTCCTGCCTGGGCTAGCTTTGAACCTCGATCCTCAGATCTCAGCCTCCTGAGTAGCTAGGATTAGAGGTGTAAGCCATCGGTGCCTAGCTTGTTCCTTACAATTTTTAGCTTTTGTGCTTAGATTTATTTTGAATTTATTTTTGTAAATGGAGGTGTTCTTCATTCTTTTTTTTTTTTTTTTTTTTTTTTTTGGGTCCGGTTGTGGGGCCTGAACTCTGGGCCTGGGCGCTGTCCCTCAGCTCTTCAGCTCAAGGCTAGCGCTCTACCACTTGAGTCACAGCGCCACTTCCAGCTTTTTTCTTTTTACTTATGTGGTGCTGAGGAATCGAACCCAGGGCCTTGAGCATGCAAGGCAAGCGCTCTACCACTGAGCCACCTTCCCAGCCCTGTTCTTCATTCTTCATTTTTTTTTTTTTTGTCAGTCATGGGGCTTGAAATCTGGGCTTGGACGCTGTCCCTGTGCTCTTCAGCTCAAGGCGACTGCTCTACCTCTTGAGCCACAGCCCCACTTCCGGTTTTCTGGTGGTTTATTGGAGACAGGAATTTCACAGGCTTTTCTGCCCAGGCTGGCTTTGAATAGTGATCCTCAGATCTCAGCCTCCTGAGTAACTAGGATTATAGGCATGAGCCACCAATGCCTGGCTTCTTCATTCTTTTGAATATATTTTAAAAAGTGGTTTGTCATATTTGTTTGTGGTCATATATTGATTTTTCTATATATATTCTTTATTGATAACTCAAAAGGAATCTTTAAAAACAAAATATAAACACACTTTTATTTATTTATTTTGTCCATCATGGGGCCTGAACTCTGGGCTAGCACTCTACCACTTGAGCCACAAGCACCACTTCTGGCTTTTTCTGCTTATGTGGTGCTGAGAAATCAAACCCAGGGCCTCATGCATGCAAGGCAAGCACTCTACCACTGAGCCACCTTCCCAGCCCTAAACGTGCTTATAAAATGAAATTGGTACTATCACTGGATATTATCTTAAATGATCACTGCCTTAGCTGTTCTTCTAACTCCTCTTTTTTTTCTTCCCACAGATTTTCTCAAGGTCAGCAACTTGTGACCAAATTAGTGACTGCTCCTGTAGCTTGTGGGGCAGTCATGGTACCTAGTACCATGCTTATGGGTCAGGTAGTGACTGCCTATCCTACTTTCGCCACACAACAGCAGCAGGCACAGGCATTGTCAGTAACACAACAGCAGCAGCAGCAGCAGCAGCAGCAGCAACAGCAACAACAGAGTTCCCAGGAGCAGCAGCTTCCCCCCGTTCAGCAACCATCTCAGGCTCAGCTGACCCAACCACCACAGCAGTTTTTACAGGTAAATTTCCCTATGGAGACGCCATCTCCAGTCCATTTATTTTTTTTTTTTAGAGTAGAATTTGGCAAATGACCTAGAAAATTTGTCCTGGTTAGCTATTTCTTTTACTTGTCTTGTTCAGTATTTGGAAGACTTGGTCCTACCACAATCATACTCAGTTGTATCTGAACTGTTAGAATAGAGCAGGTGGCCTGCTTTCTGCCCACCTCAGGGCTCTTCCTTCAAGCCTTGTTTCTCTTCTTATGCTAGAATTTCTAGAAGGTGAAACTGTCTTTCTTACATATATAGTGAGAAAAAAGAGGGAAAGAATTTTGTTAAACTTCCAAGAAAGAGGGAAAGTCTCATAAGCGTGTTTAAAAAATAGAATGTTAAGGTTAGAGCAAAAATGAAAATAGCATAAAGATTTTGTCCCTATGGACAGTGGACAGTTTGAGTAAATCTTAAGTGGACAGTATTAAGGAACAAAGCATTTGTGTTTTCAGACTTCTAGGTTGCTCCATGGGAATCCTTCAACTCAACTTATCCTCTCTGCTGCATTTCCACTACAACAGAGCTCCTTCCCTCAGTCACATCACCAGCAGCAGCAGCAGCAACAGCAGCAACTTAGTCGGCATAGGACTGACAGCTTGACTGATCCTTCCAAGGTTCAACCACAGTAGCACACAAACTTCCTTCTTCTCTGGCATCAAGGGACGAAGGAGATGGTCCATAAAGAGTTACTCAGATAATCCGAGATTAGGAGGAAGACTTCCAGCTGTTCCATAAGATGTACTATTGAGTGTTCTCATTCCTGGAATTAGTTGGTAAGAAAAATGCTGCCTAGTGCTACAAATGTACATTAAATACCAGCCAGCAGGAGATAATCCTAGAGACATAGCCAATTCTGACAGTGTTTTGGTCACCAGATATTTTTTTTGATGGGGAAAAAAAAAGAGTATATTGCCAAATGTATGAAGCTCAGCTATGAGATTGACCTCTAGTGAACCTGAAAGGCACAAATAATGTTTGTACTTTTAGTGGTCCTGTTCCTGGTATTAAGTGTTACAGAGGACTGCACCACTGCCACGTCAGGGGTTCACTTACAATGATGCCATGAAGGTAGTTCAGTAAGTAGGTCCCCCATTTCTCTCCCTCTTCAAATAATGATAGAACAGTAATTACTTTGAGAATGTTGTGTGGGTTCAAATTCTTTATGTATAGATGCTGTAAAAATATGTATATGTCTGGATGAAGGAGAGAAGCACACATTCTGTATGCTGCATGAAAGCATTATCTCTTCCTTATAGGTATGAGTACATTTCATTAGATTTTTACACCTGATAAAGCCTCCACTTTTCCTTTTGTTTACAGCATTAATAGTGTTCTATTCACTTTTCCAGGGCACAGGTCTTTGTGTTCATACTTTGGCTGTGATGTCACAGTTTGTTTAGTGAGGTATGAAGTGCTGCTGGGAATGGATTTTTTTTTCAGGTTAAATTATTGATACAATAGGATTTTCAAGTTAAAAAAATAGCCCTCATTTCATTATTTTTCAATTATGTTTGAAAATAGGATTTGCACTGCTGTATTTTAGATGGTTGGGAGTTTGATCACATATTTCTATGTATTTCTTAATGGGAAATACATATGTACAAGGTTTTCAACAAGCCTGAAAGTAATTTCAAGAATGTTTCAGTTATATAGGAGTAAATTTTGCACACAAAACATTTTAGGCACTTTTTAACATTCTCAATGGTGGGAATTTTAACTTTTAGGATTTGTTGGAATCTTTTTATTATCCTTCATAATTTCAATGCTTCTTTTAGTCAGAAATGATTCAGGGTTATTTGGGGGGGGAGGGGCTCCATAGTGCCTTGATTTGATTCAGGTGATAGCTCACCATCTTGAATTCATTGTCTGGTTTCAATAGCAGTTTTGAAACCTTAGTACATTTTTAACAGCATGTGATTATCAGTGTCATTATTTTCCATTGATTCCTATAGAGACTGCTGAGTCTCTTAGACTGGGATACAAAAAGTTTAGAGTAAAGAGAATTAACCCATCACTATTACAGTTACTAGTACGCTCCCAAAATTGTTTCCTAAATTAGTATCTTCCTTTAAAGCTAGTCATTACCAGTAAATATTTGCCCCACGTGATAGATATTCCTGTGTGAAGAGGTAGAAATTGGCTCTGCCATCATTATAACACAAATACTGTAACTCACATGCTTTTTAAATATGAACTAAGATTTCATCTGTTAATATCATATTCTAAAGGTAATAAAATCCAACACAAGTTACATACATTTTTAAAAGCACTGCTTAGATTTTATGGTACTAATAATAAAATCTGCAATTATAGAGAATTAAGATTAGCAGAAAATCTTATTAGAATATTAGTGACTGAAAAGCAGGAAAAAACACAAATCAAAAATGACCTTAAGAGAAAATGTGTTAACAGAGGTGAAGTTGCTAAGATTTTGAGTAAAGATGATAATCTAATGGAGAATTTCTAGATAAAAGGCTCAGGGGAATATGCTAAATCAGTTCTTGATCTTTGGCTTTACTGTCATCCTTAAGAAATATCTTCTGTTTTGCTACAAAACAAAAGTATACCTGGGCACAATGAAGTTAAAAGTTAATGTTGAAAATAACCAAAGAAAATTGGTACCTATACTTGTAAAAAAAGAGGTATGCCAAGATGCCACTCAATAATTATTAACATATCATAGAATTCTTCTAATTAAATGGCAATTCAGAAGAGATTTCTGACATTCCATGAACATTGAGTAGCTGTCAGAAAGTATGTGTACTTGAGCTTACACATGGCAGAACTGATTGTCTCCAAATTGCCTTTCTCAACCTTCTGCTATTCCGTATATATCTGAGTTGTGCCTCATTTGTTGGCAATACAGAGTGATAAGGATTTAGCTAACAAAACATGAAGGACTATTAAGGCTTAACCTCTGAATACCATAATTAGAAGAAAGATTGTGACCACTCTGTACTTAACAGAAGCAAAACGTAAGATAAGCCACACGGTAAATTTCTAAACTTTAATTTACTCACATTCTTCTACCCCATCCTCTTCAAGTATTTTCTATATTCACAAATGTTTGGGGAAAAAAAACTAAAGTTTTTCATAGTAATTCCTTTTATTCAGGAATAAGGTGACCTTTTCCTGCTTGAAATTGACACTTGCTAAATTTAAAGGAGCAGTTAGCTGATAACTTCTGCTGTCAGTATGGAGAGTGGTGTTGGAAAAGCTAGTCAGCATCTCTTTACCCTTGGTTCCCTCCTGGCTCTCTTGAACTAGGGTTTGCAAACTACCCCTATCTCCTTCTTATGAGACTTAAGTATTTAGATGAAGATTCAACAGTTTCTCATTCTTCCCTCAATTCTGTAGCCAAAGTTCTTAATTAAAATCCCACATCTAAATCATAAAGTGATAACAAATAGAAACACCTTTCAGGTTCTTACAGATCTTCCCTCTGCTTTTCCCTCACGGGGATTCAGTTCCTAAAAGCATGTCATGCTGGTGGTGCTTACTAGTAAGGAACTGTTAAGGGATGGGGCAGGTGCTGGCTGTTCTGTAGTGTTGCCTTGCTCAGGCTTCTGTGCTATCAGTGTAGCTTAACAAGTAAGTACAAGTGACAAATGCTAGGACTAACAGTTGCTGCTGAAAGTGGTATCAAGCCAGAACCCAGACACCTACAAGTACTCCAGTTTTTTTAGTGCAAAATATGGGAGGAAAAGCAAATGTAGTGGGTTGGTAGTGGGTTTGTTCACCTCCAAATTCCATCCTAAATTCAGGTGGGAAGTTTAAGAGTGCTGTGTGCTCTGCCTTGTCACATGTAGATGTGGCTTAGGAATGTACTAGTGATTAAAGAATGCCAGTGATTATGAAGTTTGTTACAAAACTCAGTGCAGAATAGTGAGCATGTTGTTTGAGTTCTTTACATGTGTACAGTTGTTGGTCACTGCCTTAACGCTGTCTCTTGATTAGGGGTACTGAAACAGTCCAGCTCTATAAAGAGCATTGGGTTGAAGAAAGATGATTGAAGTAGCCTTAGAAAGGGACCCTTAAAAGAGTCTACCTGGATGTTAATTCTTTTCACCTGGAGATTACTGTTTTGAAATTGTTTCTACTACATTGAGGCAAACTTTTAGTGGGATGCAGATAGCATATTACTTTACTATTCTTTTTTTTTTCCTATTTCTTTAGTGAGTGAAAGGTTGTTGAACATTTGTGTAAAACTCAAGCCTACAACTTTTCCAATATATGTGGCTCTGCTCTTAGTGCCACAGGAGTCCATGTTGGAAGGTATAAACACTGGATATTAATATTGCTAAGTGAGTTTAGCCAGGAGTAAGCAGATTGGAACTTTTAATGGTGAAGAATCAGCACAAAAGCACTTGCCATTTTACTAGTGACTGGAGAGACCGTTTATGTTTGTCTGGATTGAGTGAGCATTCTTCTAAAAGGAGTGTCCTGAAGTAGTTGCAAAGGAAAAGAGTTGACTATTTTTATAGCATATTTAATATATTTGTATATAACAATAAGTATAGTAGGAACCCTCCACATGCCTCCCACTTTTCTAATTTCCTTCCCCTTTTGCCATAGCCCTAGTGTAGCCTCATCCGCATGGGTAATGTGCCTATTGTCAGCCTACCAAAAGATAGTGCTGCTGCTTTTTCAGACAGGTGAGATCAGACTCTCATGCCTGGGGATCCTTTATGGGAGGAACAGCACACACTTCAAACAACATACCACAGTCTAAAAGCATCATTTTGAAATGTAATAAGCACTTTATTGCAATTATTCATTTTGATAAAAGTTTATTAGCTTAGGCATTAACTGTTTCTAAAGGATCCCCAAATCATCACTTAGGTGAAATTATGACACATTTCTGAGAAATGTTTAGATCCAGTGAACCATAGGTTTATGGGAGTGATTTCAAGGTAGCCAAATGAACTCTTATTTTGAATGTGGTGGAGTCAAGAGGTTGTAGATGGCTAGTTCCATTTAAACACTATTGTAAACCTAATCTTGCCTATTGTGTGGACACCAAAAGAGACCAATGAGCCTGTTTATTATCAGAGGTCTAGGAAATTGCATCTGTGTGAGTAGATATACAGAGTTAATTTAAAAGTGATTGGTAGTAATATTTTAGAACACAGTAATTGAGTGTCTTAAATGTGCCCTGAAATGTTGGCATGTCATTTCAGCGTTTCCATTTGAATTGCTCTTGTAATATTTTTGCACAAAAAGGACTGAAAAAGACTGTTTTGGGTAAAGAAAAAGTTTAATTTGGTCTTATTTTTAATGTCTCCTGTGAAAACACAGGATCCATTTTGTTCCTGTAGTAATTAATTCAGGATATTTCAAACAGTGTTGAACAATTCATAAGAAATTAAGCAAACTTGGATATTTAAAATTAAAATACTTTATTTCCATGTGACTCTTGTATAGTTTTTTCCCCCCATTGTCATAACACTACATTCCTTGTTTTCTTAAGTAATACTTTGAAGGTTTTGAGTATTTAACATGTGAGCTGCCTGGGTTTTCCCAGGGAAGGTCTTTAGTGAAATGATAGTTTCTGAAGAGACTATTAAGTGAAATCCTATCACCACCAGCAGCAAACATTGAGGTGCTGCATTAGATGACAATCAAAATAGTAAGTATTTATTAAGAAAGAATCTAGAAGGTGGTTAAGATAGTTGCTTTTGAAAGCAGTTCTCTGGGTTTCTTGAATGAAAATTGCTAAATATATTTATTTATATTTTTAAATATCATTGCATCATTTTCTCACCAGTGATTTCAGTGTTTATGATTTAATGTGTGATTTGTCTCGTTTTGCATCATTGTCTTATACTTGGAGAACTGGATATTATCTGAGGCAGTTGCTAGTCCTTTCAATGACTCTCCAAGACAACCTGAATCTATTCAGGGCAGGAGAGCAGTGGAGGGCCCATTCCATTTGCCCTGCACTTCCTCTGCTTTCAACCCAGTTAAGAAAAGATTTAAAAGATAACTCCTTTCCTCAGTGTTTCACATAGCCCCAACCTTTTTCTAGTTTCACTTGCTGCCTTCTCTATTTTATGGGGACTTTTTACATAATTTTCCCAGCACAGCCAAAGGCCAATATGACAGAACCAATGGCACTCATTGCCTGTTTTGCCCATTTGGGGAAATATTAAATGATCAGCATATTCTAATGGCTATCATTATCATATCCATATTAAAGCTCTTAAATAATAGATGGAATATACACACTGAAAATCTCTACAAAAGTTTGCTGTCTTTATATAGTTGTAGTGTTGCTTGGTCTTTTTGAAAACAAAACCTCTATACACAGCACTGTCCAATATAGCCGGGACATACCCCAAGAATCCTTCCGGCTCACTCATTGAAACATAATCCTCCACTTTAGGGCTCCTGAGCTGCTTGAAGCTGTACCTCCCATAGGCAAGGCAAGGCAAGGTTCACTCGGGATCCCTTAAGAGAATGGGTAATTAAAACATTGTCACGAACAGGATGGATTTTATTTTGTACAAATAAAATGTATTAACAGGTTTAAAGATACGCTATTTTCACATGTATGCTTTTAAATCTCTAAGGAAACAAACTGTGACATCACTTTGGGAAATGACATTGAATTGTTTTGTGTCTTTTTGAGTTGACTTGTACTGGTGCAGGTTCACTACTGGTAATGGCTGAGCCATTACCAAGAAGTTAAAATGTAGGAAAAGGTATGCTACCTTCTAATTAATGTATTGTATACTAGACAATCATCTTCAAGCAAAAAAATCATTGTCCAGGAAATGTCCTGTTTATAAAATACATGTCAGCAGGAACAGCTGTAATTTACACCATTCTAATTAGTTTGAAATCTATTTTCCTGTGGTTGTAGGGCCTCAGTTGGCACTTTCAGAGTCACTCTTCTGTAAAGATCAAAGCCCAAAGACAAGTTAATCAGTGTATATTGAAACCAGTTAGTGCAAAAAAAAAAGTTGTATCTTTGTACATTTTTGTTAACATCAGTTGGTAGTTGTAAAAACACACCAAATGCTAATGTTCTGTGTAGTTCTTAGTGTGCTATTCCTGGCATTGCTGTCTTTACTGCTTGGTTCTGGGGTTTTTAATACAAAGTAGATATATCCCCATCATTCTTCCAAATGGATGGCGCTAGAAATGGCTACTGATCTTTCCATAACGTGAATATTTAAATGAAATCCAAACTAATTTGCAAACATGAAAATAGGCATTTTTCAGGTATTGTCTTCTGCCAAAACCCTAAATTGCATTATAAGGATGAGGAATAATGATGATTCATCGGTGCTATATTAGGTTCTCTGATTCATGAGCTGTATTTGGAAATACAATACTGTATAAAATATATGGGTTCTTACCAGCTTGATATTGGCATTTTAATTCGGTATTAGAATTTGGTCACGGCTTGTTTTTAAGCTGTACTGAGAAGAAAGTAAAAGTGTGTTACTAGCCTACCTCCACTCAGGCCTCTTCATGTATGATCATTTTTCCAAGTTTTGATGTGCGTAGCTCTTAAAATCTACATGTTCTATTATAATGTTCTTTCCTATAGTCTTTTGTAATGTGTTCAGAACCTAAAATTATAGCGAAAGAGCCAAGCAGTAGCATTGTGGAATATTTCGGTTGGGGGAGGGGGGGAGACTTGTGGATTTTTTGTTTTTTGGTGGTGTTTTTTTTTAAATGTAAAATAGACCCAGACTTTGTTTTCTTCAACTTAAAAAATAAAAAAATACCTCAGTGCTAGTGCTGTTTTTCAGTATCATCTGCATTTTTCCAGAAGTGATATCTGCTTTATGTGGCATAGAACTTGTAAGAATCACATTTTGAATTTGTAGACTTATTAAATATTTTTAAATCTCTTAACATTTTCCTTTTTTATTCAGTAGCGGGACCTAACTGCATTAGCACTTCTTGCCTTATAACTTAGGTCTGAATTGCCAGATTGTGTAAATAGTTAGGTTCTATGGAAAGACTGCTAATGGTGCCTCAAAAAGCTCTTTAAAGCCAGTGCTGAAATCGGGCTACTTGATCAAGTTCGTGATACTATCAAGCTGTGATACTATTACTACTTCCCACAAGGAATCCTGTTAGTGATAATCTTCTTTTTAAGTGTCTAACCTTAAAAGGCAACCTCTTGAACGTTCATTTTGTTTTTTTTCCCAAGGTTTTGATTGAACTCTCAGGGCTTCTCACTTGCTCAGTTGGTGCTCTCCTGCATCAGCCATGCCTCTAGACCTTTTTCATTGTTACTTTTGGAGATAGCCTCTCAGGACTTTTTTGCCCAAGCTAGTTTTTGAGCTACAATCCTCCGGATCTCAGCTTTGTGAGCTACAATGACAGGCATGAGCTATTGTTGCCTGACTTTTTAAAGTATTTTGTCTTCATTTGTGGGTATCTTTCAAACCTGTAATAATACACTTTTTA